AAACACAGGTTGAACGACTGGAGTCTTCCACCCCAGCCGTTCCAGTACAACCAGCTCAAGTGGGTGGGCGCCTCCAACTACACTGGGAAAACTGGGGAATACTGCAAGACCCTTACGTCTCCAACATTCTTCAACCACAGTTTCAGTATCCCTCTACAGGCCAAGCCTCGCTGACAATCAAACCCCCAAGTTCGATTTACAAAGCGCAACAACTACCAAAGATAAAGAGGCTGTTTCATCACTCCTATCCAAACAGGCCATAGAAGTAATAGATCAAGCAAGCGTCGAACCAGGTTTCTACTCCCCAGTTTTCCTAGTTCCCAAGAAAAACTCCCGCGGAGAAATACAGACTCATCTACAACATGAGCTTTTCAACAAGAACTATCTCGCCAAACCACGAAGTTTAGCATGATACATTTACCTCAGTTTCGCCAGATGATTAAGTCCTATGGACTACATGGGCAGCATAGATCTACAGGATGCCTACTTGCACATCCCCATTCATCCCGATTCCAGGAAATACCTACGATTTACTCTAGAAGGGCTACATTACCAGTGGAAAGTACTCCCATTGAATATCATCAGCCCCTGGCTATTCACGAGGATAGCGAAACCGATTATCAAATTTCTACATCGTCAAAGGGGCTCGCGAGTGCGTTTTACCTCGACTTGACGGGATACAAGTAGATCAAGATCCACTGCGTCTCAAACTACAGTTAAATTACATCATAAAGCTACTAACACAACTAGGTTGGTTAGTAAACTTACATAAGTCGGACCTAGTACCATCGCCAAGACCTACAGTTCCTAGGTATTGATTCATCACAAATCGCAACCGTATTATGGTACCAGAAGACCGTTGGCTCAAGATACAACAGACCATTCCACCAGCTCTACTCTCTCCGTTACCACTGCGACAATGGCAGAGCCTACTAGGTCTTCTCACATCAGCCCAAGACATGACTGTCACAGGCAGATTACAGTTCACGTCCCCTACAGGTCCTCATCAGCACATCTCAGCGATGTACAACCATTCAGTCTACGAAACATCTCAGACCACATCTACTATGGTGGACCAAGAAATCGAATGTCTGCGAAGGGATTTGTTTAGCAGAGCAGGAATACAAAACCCATCTGTATGTAGGCAGCGTCACTCCAAGGTTGGGGAGCTCATCTCACCAACCACCGCGATATCAGGGTTATGGAATCAGCAAGAATGCAAACTCCATATAAACAGTCTAGAAATGAAAGCTGTAATCAGCGCCATTCTACATTGGAGCACATTTCTACAAAATCGCGCCTAATGATCCATACAGACAATTCGACAGTGGCGTTCTACATAAACAAGCAAGGCTCAAGCGAGATCGATGAACCTTTTGAACCTAAGCTTTCAACTGTTCGATTTAATACAAGATCTAAATCTACATGTCAGAGCAGTGCACATTCCGGAGCCAGAAATATACTAGCAGGCGGCTCTCTCTCGGCCTCATCTACCATCACCGACAGAGTGGATGATCAACAGGAAATTTTTGCACAGATAATCAAGCAATTAGGGCGCCGCTAATAGACCTATTAAGCCCGCAGCGATTCAACAATCAGCTACCGACATTCGTGTCACCAGTCCCAGACCCCCAAGCTTGGGCAGCGGGCGGCTCTAAGTCTATCATGGGAAGGCCTCAATGCGTGCAGCGTTTCCGCCGCCAGCAATAATACCTCAAGTATTACAGAAAATCAGACAAACACAGAGCCTACAACTCACTTTGGTGCAGCCCTACTGGCGGCCAGAGCGTGGTTTCCCATACTAATTCAAGAAATCGGTCAACCAACACTGGAGCTACCCAAGTAGCGCAAACCTGTTAATTCATCCTCACACCAAACAAGTGCACGAGAAACCCAGCAATGTTCCAACTACTGCGTATGGACTGTATACAAATGTGTTTAAAACAAAGAGGATATTCTGCCAGGCGGCAAAAGCAGTCGCGCTTGCTTACGTTACTCAACTTCGTGGCAATGCGGCGACAAGTGGCACAGTTTGAAAATTATGCAACAAAGAAAGGGTTTACAGCAAGAGAGGCTTCACAACCTCAAGTGGCAGACTATTTGTGTTACCTACGCCAAAACAAACATTTAAAAGGTTCAGCGATATCAACATATCTTGCGCGCTTAGCTCTGTAATCACCATGAGAGCGGGTGTCAAATTGACAAGATCTCCAGAGTTACTGGCCTTACTCACGAGCTTTCGATTGGAGGACCAAAGCGGAAGTTCCACGCCCAGCTTGGGATCTGAATGTAGTGTTACAACACCTCACGAGTGAGGTCTATGAACCTTTGGAATCGACAAACTTTGAATTTCTCTCACAGAAAACATTGTTTCTGCTATAAGCTAGCCACAGCAGCAAGAATGTCTGAAATTCGCGCTCTGGATTACGAGAGGATACAGTTTGATGACAATCATAACACAGCGCACCTCGGATTAAGATGGGATTTCATCGCCAAAAATCAACTGCCAGGTCAACCAGACAGATTATTCCACATCCGTAGCTATCCTCTATTCTCGGATCACAAGATACACAAGACCTATCACTGTGTCGGTAAGGCTCAAAGTTTATTCTGACGATCCAAAACAAGGAGAAGATTTCTCAAGCGTTTATTCATCCCATTATAAGCCCTCTGAATCAAACAGAAGTGTCACGGACCTACAATATCTATTTGGATAAGGACTGTCATTCTCCGTGCCTACAAGGCAGCAGGCTTGGACCCACCAACAGCATCAAATCCACATGAGATCAGGGCACTGGCCTCTACCCTCGCCCTACTACGGTAACTGTTCCTTGAACACGATTATGGAAGGATGCTATTGGAAATCTAACATGGTATTTGCTAATCACTACCTAAGAGACATCACTACAGAAGATGTCTCTGGCATTCCACCATTCGGACCACTGGTCCTCGCTCAGCAACTGACAGTCCCTCGTGAGGCGTTAAAATATTATCCTCACAAGATTAATATGTATTTTATACATACTCATCTAGCTTATAACTCTCACGGAGTTTTAGGGCTATGTATATATGTTCAGCTTAAGTATTCAACCTTAAGCATATACTTGGATATAGTCAATTTCAGTGCCTCTATCAGAGTCACCTATATATATATATATATAATTTATATGTATTGTTCAATATATTCATAATGTAATTCCCCTTTAATGGCTTTATATAACCTATGGTTTTCTTTATACAGGAAACATCCTAAATCTAAGCCTTCATGAAGTTCCCGTAGGGGATATTACAGTATATCTATACAAAATCACTAATTATAAATCCAAAGTATTCTGTTACCCACCTCCGTTCCGTAGGATGCTACAAGCAAAGAGCATGAGTCAGGATAAGGAAAATATGTAATTTTAGAGTAAAATTGATATTTTATACTTATCCTGACTCATGAGGGTTAACCCTCCATCCTCCCCACATAACACTTTGGATTTCCCTGTAAATTCAAGTGTTGGGCTCGCTAAATCAGGAGAGAGTGGAGCACATGGCCAGAGGGTGGCGACACCTTTTCCCGCCAGGGGGGACAAAGGGGAGCAACTTCGTGGTGAGTACCAATTAGTGATTTTTATTTTGAAGGGAGCTTCAAATAAGGAGATACAAGTGTTCCACTATGTTAGCAAGAAGAAGAAGACAAGCAAAGAGCATGAGTCAGGATAAGTATAAAATATCAATTTTACTCTAAAATTACATTTCTTTTTCTCACTCTTTCACTTTATGTGTTGTAGTAACAGATGTCGCAAAGTTTCATGCAAACAGCTGAAATGTTGATAGACTGAAACTTTGCATATCTGGTATATGTCGGGCAGTGGGGTAGCCAGGTGGTTAAAGCCTTTGCTTGTCACACTGAAGACCTGGGTTCGATTTCCCACATGGGTACAATGTGTGAAGCCCATTTCTGGTGCCCCCTCAGTGATATTGCTGGAATATTCCTAAAAGCGGCGTAAAACTAAACCCAATCACTCACTCTGGTATATGTGTATCACCACAGAAGATGAAATAGATCGTTGTGTGGAGTTGTGTCCCTTGTCTGACAGGATCCACTAGTTGTAGGTAAGATCCTAGATTCACCCCAACTATGACCAGAGGCTCTATCTATACCAGACATGTGTTTATTCCAACTATGACCCATGATTTGTCCTCACCATATCTGTGCTTATTAGGTTCAGCACTGACAGACTGTGTCATTTGTATTTATTTCTTTGATGCGACTAAAATTTAAAAAAAACCCTCACTGACTCACTTTTTATTCTTTCCACCTTAAACTGCCTCACTGTCATTGGACTGAAGTAGCAGTGTTAAATCCACTCACTATCTCACTTAAAAGACTGAATTATGAAATTTCTTCCCCCCTCTTTCAATTTCCCTTATAGCCTCTTGTTCCCCCTGAGAGGATACATAAGTCCCAAAACTTTCAAAGTAAATTCAAGCTTACTATTATTTTAACTGCAGTTTATATGTCATTTTAACTTATGGCTTGACTTGTCTACAATCGCTAAAATCTGAAAGGATGGTGTAAATCCAGCTAGGGTCCATGCAGGTAGCAAAAGCACTGTAAGTCCCCATGGTCCCTAGTCTGGTGATCTACCTTTAGTTGTTGGCGATCTATAGCCTGTTTTTATATTGTACTGTTGTCTAATATGATCTATTTCTTTTATCATAGCGTTCAAGTTTTAGATTAAGAGCTGTGATATTCTAGTAGTTTTACTGTCCTTCGATGACAGATTTTTTTATGTTCTAAATTATTTTATTTTAATAGTGATATAAATTGTATTGTTTTATTCACAATATGGCTGAAATATTGCCAGTGTGATGCTAAATATTAACTCACTCACTCACTCATAGCATCCTGCATACCTTATATTCAGACACAGATCATTCTAGGTATAAAAACTTTGCTTCATAGATGAGGGTAAATGATATTTGTTGAGACATTATCTTAATGAATCAAGTGGACGTTCCTGTTGTTTCCAGTATCCGTCTGATGACTGTGAACGCTCTGCGAACCAAGACACATGGGGTGTTCCAGGTGATGGCCTACACAGAGCAGGACATTGTGGTGGATCCCCTCATAGTGCTTCGGTGTGACTGTCGAGTCTTCAGGTAAATACAAGGAGTCAGTCAGTGAGTTGTATCCCCTCATAGTGCTCCGGTGCGACTGTCAAGTCTTCAGGTATGATGGGTGAGGAAGTGTTTTGAGTATGCAGTCATCAGTGTGGTAGCTTGAGCAATGGATAAAGCTGTTGGGGTACAATGGCATACAATCTGACATCAAGCTGGTATTCTGTCTGTATTCTGTATTCTGAATCCTGTCTCACTCACTTTCTGTGTTCCAGTAACACGTCCATTCTGATATCAATCTGGTATTCTGTCTCCATAAACCCTGTCTCACTTGCTTTCTGTATTCCAGGAACACCTCCATACTGAGATCAATTTGGTATCTGCCCTCTTAGACCCCATCTCACTGACTTCTGTATTCCAGGAACACCTCCATACTGAGATCAATCTGGTATCTGTCCTCATGAATCCCGTCTCACTCACTTTCCATATTTCAGGAACCCCTCAATCCTGGAGATAGTGCTGCGTATCCTGTCTGCGTACACCCAGGCATGTCAGGTGTATCTGACGAACCACATACAGACACACCCAGTCCTGGACAACAACCTGCAAGCAGAGCATGAGAGACAGGACCTGAAGATTGCCCTGTCTGCTGCCCAGGAGAGTGCTATCATACAGATCCTGCTGGAGTGCTGTCTCAATGATCAGGAGGAGGTGACAGTCAGGCTGCAAACTTTCAAATATTACCATTATTATTTTTTTGCATTATAGGATATTCATATAGCGCACATATCCATGCAACTAGTACATGCTCAAGGCGCTGGTATTTTTTCCCTCGATCATTGGATGTCATTCTCAACGGCACATCGTATTATCAATCTCAACTCCCTGGGGATCATATAACTTTTGCAGCCACTAGGCACGCCAAGTTATTGTGGTTTTCCCATCCTTACAAGGTACCCATTCACAGCTGGGTGGACTGGGACACATAGTCACAGTACTTTGTCAAGTTTACTGCACGTTACTGTACCTGCAACTAGGTGTTTGCATGTATTCATGTGGCCACCATCTGGTCATATACCAACGGATTCGTGGGTTCTTTTAAGTGCACAGGGTTGTGTACTGTACACTAGGGGTTGTGGCAATTTTCTTGCTGATGAGCTTGTTCCTGCAAATTGTGCCACAATCTTAATAATAATCCTGCTTATATGCCCACTTTATGGCCCTAAGTCAACACTGCATGGGCATGCTCTAAGCACATTCAACATAATGGACATTCTGTCCCTCTTTAGCCCAAGCTGTCTGTGAGGCACTAGAAGGATAATAGTCATATGACTTATACCACCAAGTACCCATTCACTGGTTGGTGAACAGATGTAATTTTGAACCCACTCACTTGCCTAATGTGACTCACTAGGACTAAAGTCCTAGAAACTCTCGGGAGACAAGCTGCCAACGGTCACCCATCGTATAGCATCAAAGGACTCTCCGTGACCAGCATTGCTTAACTTACTGATTTGTGTTCTGAGCTCTATGCGCAAGCCCACACACCACCATTTTTTTCTGCAAAGTGTGTCTAGTTACTGCAACACTTATCACCTCGTAGAAATGATTCAAGATGTTCCCTTCATTGTTCATGATGTTATAGATGTCTATATGTGCCATTGTTTAAAAAAATAGCTGACTCAGCTGATGTCTCCACTTTGACACTTTTTTCTTCATTTTCTTAAACAAATGAATTAAAGGGAATTATAGAATAATCTCCATGCAACATCCAAATCTGACCCTCATGAAATAGTGTTAAAAGTATCTGACCAAGGCTTACGGCATACATCATAAATTCACTTGGGATAGATAATGTGCAACATTAGATTTACCATTTGTTCTATATATCTGTTCCTGAATTTTTTTAAGTAAATCTGTATGAGGGGGACACTGCTGACTGATTTTATAACAAATGTCTTTTGTGCTTCTCTGCACTTAAGTAGGGAACAGAAATAGGATATTCTATTTGGCTGTCCAATCATTCTAGTGCAAATCTTTTCTTGCATCATCACAACTGAAAAAGGCAAACAGACTTCATGCATTTGTTTATAAGAAAATTGTTTGGTTGCAGAATTATTGATCACAATTACAACTTGTTCTTTCCGTCACTGTCAGATTCCCACAGGACAACTGTCCGATCTACGTGAGGTCCAGTGTCTGATATTCTCCCATCTCCACCAAGTCTTCATTGCGGATCCCAACCGCGAAGCTGGTCCACTTTCAGGTACTGCATTGTACAGTAATGTGTGAGTGAATGAGTAAGCTTTTACGCCGCTTTAAGTAATATTCAAGCAATATCATGGCGGGGGGACACCATAAATGGGCTTCACACTTTGTACCCATGTGGGGAATCGAACCTGGGTCTTCGGCGTGACGATCGGACACTTTAACCACTAGACTACCCCGCCACCCGCATTGTACAGTAATGATTCAGTGAACATGCAGAAGTATTCCTGCCTCTTTATCAGTCTGCAACTTTTGTTGATAGAGTGTGCACATGTTTTACAACACACTCCACAGTATTATTACGGAAATGTGTCAAATGTATTTTCAGGGCTATCCAAGTCAGCTGATCCCGCTGCTTGTAGCAGGAGTTCCCTCCATGCACATCTGTCTCGACTTCATTCCAGAGCTGCTTGGTCAGCCACAGACGGAAAAACAGGTCAGTCATGTGTCCACGTGGTCAAACAAACAGGTCAGTCCTGTGTCAACACATTCAAAAAATAAACAGGTCATTCATATCAATATGCAGAGAAAAATCTGTCCGTCACATGGCATCAAGTGCAGAACAACAGGTCAGTCAGTCCATTCCTGAGGTTCCTTGCTGAAAGATTGCTGTAGATAGTATAATAACATCAGACAAGTTGAGTATATTGACATTGTATTTTGGCACCATGTTAAGTTTGGAAGGACACGTTTGTTACATAGTTATTAGGATAACAAGCTATGTTTTAGTCATTCCTTATCCCCAAATGTAATCCTTATCCCTGATTACTGCTGGTCATCGGAAGCAGCTGGGATGTTGGTCAAACTGTAACCAGGTGGTATGTCTAGTGTAGGCTTTGTTATTTCTAAGTTAGGCCAGACCAGTTTTATTTATTGTTTTACAGATTTTTGTCCTCAGAAAACCTAAAGGCAGGAGGGAATTTAAAAGTTATATTCCTTTTAAACTCTAAAAGTATTTTACTTTTGACAATTTATGAAGTGTAAATGAGGCAAAAAAAACAATCTAAAAATTTGTTTGGGTAAGTTTACAATTTTGGCCAATAAAAACATTTGGATTGTATTTTTTGTGTGGGGAAACGTTTATTTTTTTCTTGAAAAACACTTCTTGAAAAAATATGACCAGCAGATCCGTAAACCAAGAAATATAATTGGTCTGGCCTTACTATGTTATACCTGGAATTCAGCTTGCTACAACCTTAAAGAACTGAGGTCTTGCTTCACTTACTCTTTTGACCATGTTTCCCTATGTGTACAGGTGTTCTCCATCAAGCTGTTGAGTCACCTGTGCTGCCAGTACTCACTGCCCAAGTCACTGAGTGTGGCCAAACTAGGTATCAACGTCATGTTCACCATGCTCACAGGTAAAGCTGCTGCAGTGTTTATCTTGGTGTAGAAGACTTGCTTCATGTTTGAGTGTAGATTTAATGGGCCTTTGCCCCGTTTCACAAAGGTATCGTAGCTGTCGTAAGTCTATGTTACAGTATAGGAGTTTTGTGGATAAGGACCCTGGGCACAGTTTCACAATGCTATCGTACCACTACGACTGTCATAAGTCTATGTTGCAGTGTAGGAGTTATGACAGTCGTAGTGCTACGATAACCTTTGTGAAACATACTTCTGGTCGCCATGCAGGGTTGCATCCCTTGGGCGTGCCAAGAACGTATGGTCAGGGCTTGGAATCCTGGTCATGTTTCTAGGTTGTCAGCACCATACATGTTCTCATGGGTTTCAACAAAATGGTTAACAACTAAAACCTCTCTTCAGGCTTATCTCTTGAATTCACCTTGCATGCCAGGGCGGTGGGGTAGCCTTGTGGTTAAAGCATTGGCTCGTCATGCCGAACACCTGGGTTTGATTCCCCACTTGGGTACATTGTGTGAAGCCCATTTCTGGTGTACCCCGCCGTGATATTGCTGGAATATTGCTAAAAGCGGCGTAAAACCATACTCACTCACCTGGCATGTCTTGATGTAACTGAAATACTGTTTAAAGTAAAATTCAACTCATCCATTCACTTAGAAGCTCCACACAACAGAGGTGTTTTCTGTTTCAGTGTCTGAGTGCATTTGATAACGCATACAACTTTGTGGATAACAACTTTTTGTTTATTGCATGGAGCGACGTTTAGTTGCAGATTCTTACACCATTTTCAAACTAAAAGAATCTACACTGAAACCTCGCTCTGTGCAATGAACAAGAAGTTGTTATCCTTAACATCGTATGCTTCATGATTGACTCACCAGCTTCTAGAATGATTATCAAACACTCTAGAGATCATTTGACATGCATGAACGGCTCCATGGAGTATTCTCCCTTTATAAGAAGAGGATTCTGAGAACATGGGAGTAGTTAGTTAAGGGACCTTCATTATTATTGTCATGTGATGAACACAATTCTGAAATGTTTAAGCATAGTTTTTGTATTTGCCCTGTTTTGACTTGTGGATTCCATTGTTAAGATGATCTATTCCATGGCTATAGTGCGTTTGGCTCAAAAGTGGACCGATGAATTGCAATCTAACTCAAAAACTAATAAACATATAATACTCAATGAAACGCTGATCATAATCAAAACATCAGACCAACTCTGTGATATGTTTGCAAAATTTATGTCCTAAAATTAAAAAAGTTGTTTAACAAACTATCATTAAAATATTGACACAGTTCACTATTTGTTACGAGGGAGGAGTGCAGAGAAAGGGACAGCCAGGTGTCTGACGTTTTCATTATGATCAGTGTTTCATTGAGTATTTTATGGTTATAAGTTTTCGAGTTAGATAGCAATTCATCGGTCCGCTTTTGAGCCAAATGGACTATAGATAAGCTTATTGAAGTGAGTCTGGTGATCACTTGTGTGAACATGGTGACATACATGGAAGCAGTAAATCATTATGAACTGAAAAATATACTGTAAATCATGAAATTAATGCGTCATGAATTTAATGCGAGTGCGAGGGCCTAGTCTAATTGCGTCATGAAATTAATGAGAGGTGAGGAATCTGTTGATAAAATGTGACACCCTGAATCTTTGGTGTTGTTCATTTTCTTTTACACTTGTTATTTACCAAATAACCTCAGCTCAGCTTGTTAAGCAATGAATGGAAATGAGCTGATGATGTTTTGTTTACGCTGTCATGTTTGATCACGTGATTGCTTGCTAGTACTTGTCTTATGACAACATTTATAAACGTAATCCGACTTGAAAGACTTCAAAGGTGAGCAAATATTGTGAAATGATCCTGCGTGGTTGGAAAATGTCCGGTCTGGCTGATGTGCTTGAATGACCAGTGATTGTAACCAGCGATAATTACATGTGGCTTGAGATACCAGTAACGAGGAAGTTTCCTGTATTTGTGTAATGTTTAGTGTCAACACTTCTGCTATTGTTGCATAATTTACCGATGAATAAGTTCAATGGATGTCAATTAGTGTCATGGAATAAGTGCTAATTTGTCAATTAATTTTATGAGAGATGTCTAAATTGTTGTTATATTCAGGAGGCGACAAGAGATTTACGTTTTCTGTCTTTTTAAAGTTCTCAAAAGTAGACATGGTCAGACTGAAATGCGTCATCATAATAATGTGAGAAGAGTACAGACGCATTTTTCGCATTAATAATATGCTTGCATTAATTTCATGATTTACAGCATATAGCCATTCATACATCTAACACAAGCTGTCAAATGACATGTTGAAGCTCTGCTTAGAATTGATGAATTCCGTGACAGATAAATGCAAAATTCTGCACGCAGTTTACACAGAATGTGATTTTCTGCAAGATCTATACATTTCTGTGCCGAATAGGGCTGCAACAATTCACCCAGACATCGATTTGATTCAATTTTCGATATTGGACCCTTGATTCAATCATTTTCGTTTCGATTCTTCAAACAGGTTAAACATAAGATTTTATTAAACTCTCAGAGTCGTCTTTAAAGAGTGAATCCATCGTCAACTTGGCGATGTCTACTAAAAACAATTCTCTTTGGAAAATAATCAACCAAGCACGTTTCGCCTCATTTCAGCTCTCAAAACAGTTTGGGTTGGAGTCAAATTTACATTCTTGCTGTGTGGAAATAATTTAATAGGTATATAAGAAATTGAATCGAAATAGTGATAACGGTTGTCGAAAATCGAAACTAAGGTGTCAGATTTGACTTTATGAATTGAACCAAATCGTTACAGCCCTAGTGCCGAATGGCCATTCCTGCAAAATATGCGACAACCACAGTATAGTGGTGTGTGCAGTATTCTTGTGTTCCTTCTTGTTGTGTCTTAATCACATTGCATGTCAACTTTTTCTGTTCTGCCCAGTCCTGGAGAGCGAGATGAGGGTTCTGTTCTTCCAAGAGACTGTTCCCTGCCTGTTTAACATCTGCAAGGCGTTCCCTCCACTGTGTGATGATGTCACTTCACTCCTCACCCAGATCGGCCGAGTCTGTTTCTCCCATCTCACAACCACAAACTCAGTAGTGGGATCTGGTAAGTGCTTCATGATGTCTCTCAACAGATTTCCGCATTGGATATATTCTTTCCCAAACTTGAAGTGATATTATTTAACCTCCTAATAACTGTTTTCTAGGGATGCGGGACTTTCTGTTTAGAAGTTATGCTCCATAGGTCAAGAGCCTTCCCAGTCTGGATGTGATGTTATTGAACCAGATATGCTTATAAGTTTGCTATTCAAGCAGTTCTTCAAAAAAGGCGACAAAAGGGATCGGGTGGTTAGGCTTGCTGACTTGGTTGACACATGTCACCATATCCCAATTAGGTAGATCAATGCTCATGGTGTTGATCACTGGATTGTCTGGTCCAGACTCGATTATTTACAGACCGGCGCCATATAGCTGGAATATTGGTATGTGCGGCATAAAACTAAACTAAACACACCTGGTTGACACATGTCACCATATCCCAATTAGGTAGATCAATGCTCATGGTGTTGATCACTGGATTATCTGGTCCAGACTCGATTATTTACAGACCGCCGCCATATAACCGTAATATTGGTAAGTGCGGCATAAAACTAAACTAAACACACCTTTCTAGTGTGTGAATAACTAATGGTAAGATACATGTGCAACTTCTAAATACCAGTCAGATAGCCTATACCTCATAGTGGTTATAGGGACTGGTCATTTATTGTGGGAGTGAGGAGTGTTAAATAGACACATGACACAGTGAAAGATGGTCACCAAAATCTCACAGTTCATTACAATTAAGAAGGTGGACGGAGAAGTTGGCATGTTGTCCAGATGATGCATGACTAAACATACAACTGAAGCTATTTACCAGATACAGAAAATACTGAGAGCCTGTTTCTAACCTATTCCAAATCAGTGCTTATCTTTTTATGAAGATTGCTATACAAATTGGTCAAATTGATAATTAAGGATAGTTTTGGTTCTGTTAGTTGATTTTCATGACAACAGAACGGACAACTGCAGTGTTCTAGGCCGTGACCTTGCGTCATTCACACACTAATACAGTGGACTCTGTCAATACCGGCCTCTCTTAACACCGGCACTCTGTCTACATCGGCACAAAGTTTCAGTCCCGGCAGAAATGCACGTTATTATCATTTAGAAACTTCTGTAAACATCGGCATCTGTCTATTCAGGATATCGGCATTGTTTTTCGGTCCCAACGAACACGTTGTTATGAAAACGAATCTGTAAAAACCGGCACATGAGAGACGGTGTAACCCTTTGATGCAATTAGGTCCAAATGATGTAACAACACAATTCGCTGTGACTCCCGAGATTATTCAGAAACGGGAAGTGTTAATCAGTATCTTGTTAATCAGTGAGTGGTACGTAACACTTACCCAGAGTAATTAATACATGTAGTGGGCAGTTTGACTGTATAAACAAGCAAGTGTTTACATTTTGTTGATTAAGGGTATTGACTCTCGAGATTATTCAGAAACGGGAAGTGTTGATCAGTTTCTTGTTAATTAGTGAGTGGCACGTGTCACTTACATAGAGGCTTAATCGCGTTTGATGGCGGTATCGCTCGAAAAGCTCTGAACATCAACAATATCACTGTACTCTTGCCGAGAGTATTTTCACATTTGTAAGAAGTTTATTTTATTGGATAAAGATTGGTTTCTAACGACGCTTTTCACTACACTCTGCTTATAAGGGTCGTGATTGGTCAAAATCAGACACGTGACCTAAGCAGCCAATCATATTATGGAAATGGATACCGTCCTCGTAAACGAAAAGTTTTAGATTAAGACGAAAGTTTTTGGGTAAAATAATGCTATTCTGAACATATTAAGAAAGACATCGCTACCTATACGTAAATTATGGAACGTATTGGACATATCGTGCTAGGTTATGGCCTATGACAAAAATGCTTCATGCATATATTTCACATTAAGCATCGTGTCCGGGCGTCAAGACGGAGGCGGTGAAAGCCGAGATGTAACTTGACAGTGACTTGACTTACATTGCATGATCGCACAAAAGTATGGAAATAGTAATTTTATATGTACGTTTGACAACTTTTATGAATGTTATTGTTGATTTCAATTTATTTAATGATTTCCTCGATGTTTGAAACATCGCTACTTTGCTCTTTGACAATGCTATTGTAGACCCGCTGTCGAAGCATAAACAAGAATCATTGTTTTCAATAACATTGCGAAAAATAGTTTATAATTTTAATTCTGCCGATAATATATGATCAGTTGAAATTTAATAAGAGATTTCAGACATTTTTATTTGATTCAAACAACATGAATGTGCATTCAGACACTGCCTTAATTGTTTCTTATTCAAACATCTTGTTAATGCTAAAGTGACAGTACGACAGCGAACTTCCGTGTGCGCAGGCGTCATAAGCGAACCTAGCTAAACCGGCACTCTGTCAAAACCGGCATTTTTATTTGGTCCCGACTGATGCCGGTATTGACAGAGTACACTGTATTTAACATGGCACACTGTACAGGTACAGGCGATTCATGTCAGAGCATCCATAGATGTAAATATGAAATCCAGCAATACACCTGTTCTTGCCGAAACGTGTTTTGAGTCCTCTGAACTTACCTTATGACTTTCAATCTGTGTTTAGAATGATTGTGCAAAACCAGCAAATCAGTGTAATAAGAAAAAACAAGGTTCTTCTTAAAATGTGGATGCAATGGGTCAAGTTTGTTTAGTGAACCAGTGGGTTTGCATGTTAAGGTTTCACACTTGTGTTGCCATGGGGGACACAGCGGCTGTAATACGACGATATCAGTCTCAACATCCTACAGTTTTCACAAAAAAGCAATGAACATGTGTTTTTTTCTTAAAAAATATGTGTTTCCGTCTCTGCCAGTGCAATCATTCACCCGTGAAGGTCCGGGTTGGAATATTGATCTTCAGTAACCCATGCTTGTTGTAAGAGGCGACTAATAGGATCGGGTGGTCAGGCTCGCTGATTTGGTCGGCACATGTCATCTGTTCCCAATTGTGCAGATTGATGCTCATGCTGTTGATCACTGGATTGTCTGGTCCAGACTCGCTTTTTCACAGACCGCCGCCATATAGCTGGAATATTCTTGAGTGTGGCGTAAAACTAAACTCACTCACTCACTCATTCATGCCTATTATTCAAAGGAACATCAAATCGTAAGATATGTGCGTTACCCACCAAATAAACACTGTGTTTACAGGGTATGGTTAAGTTAAGGTTGAGGATTTCGAACCAACATAACAGGTATCCTCATGTTATTGGATTTCGGACGCTCAAACATTCGTTAGCAACCATAACTGGAAAACATGGCATTAACCTGAAACATAATCCGATAGCATAAATGTATAAGTCACTGTCAGACTGATCATAATTATAAGATCACTGTTCATTGTTGAAATATCCAGTTGTTTTCAGTTTCAGGTTGAAAACTCAGACTTTGTGTTTGCTAGGCTACAGCAAAAATGTTCAATCAGTATTGGAATGTTCAGTTGAGATGTCAATGAACATAGAGATTGGGTTCATTTATCGTTTATTATTTATTCAAATTTTTCAAATACTTTTTGATGTTAACTCTTTTATTAATGTGTTGAAAATAGTTTCTTGTTGACCTCACCTGGATTGAAAGTTTGAAAAAGGAATGGTACTCATACTAGTAACTTGTAGTGTATGGCTAAAAATCACAGCAATTTGACATGACCCACATTATTTTCTAAATAACCCACAACTTGGGTCTGGTGTGCCATGGGCTTACTATTGAGAAATGCTGGAATGAACACTGCAACTGACAATGAGGGTAGTGCTGTTACTGGTACAGAATTCCAAAAGCACTGACCATTTCTGGATGAAACTTTGCAATGCAGATCAGTCTGGGGATAATCTGGTGATTTTGATGATTTGGGATATTGAAAAAGACTGAAAGGCATTTTGTTTTTCAATTTTATCGAACAGAATGTATAAGAGGTATAAGCAGCTGAACTCTGAATTTCTGAAAATTGGGAGGATTTGTGATGACTCTTGTTCTGCTATTTGCCAGTCTGGTTGATAAACATATTGAGTAACATCTCTAAGGTTTGCTGTGTAAATGAACATTTAAATCTTTTTATCCTTTCTTCACAGATTTCTCCCTGGTTCCGGGGCAGGATAGTCACACGGACACATCAGAGCCCGCTTGTAAGCGGCAGCGGGTGAGTGAGGTGTCGTCCTACAGCCGGCTGTACAACACTGTACAACAGACATTCCAGGAGCTGGCCAGTCAGGCTGTCGTCACCAACAGCATCTTCTGATCCTTCAATAAACTTGTACAGAAACACTTGTGTTGTTCATAGTGCATCAGTAGCACAATAAGTAGCTGCAGTTATTGTATATTGATTCATGATTGTGTTTGGGCGGTGGGTAGCCAAGTGGTTAAAGCGACGGCTCATCACACCGAAGGCCCAGGTTCGATTCGATACTGGTGTTCCCCGCAGTGATATTGTTGGAATATTACTAAAAGTGGCGTAAAACTTACCTCTCTCTGTCATGATTTTGGTTGTGATGCTGTACTATGATGTCAGTATTTGACTTGATTGTGTATGGTTTAAAAATGATAATTTTGCAGTGGTAGTGTGGAGACCCGTGAAGATCCGGGTTAGAATTGACCTTCAGTACCCCATGCTTGTCGAAAGAGGTGACCAACGGGTCAGTCAGGCTGCTGACATGGTTGACACATGGCATTGTATCCCATTTGTGTAGACCGATTCTCATGCTGTTGATCACTGGATTGTCTGGTCCAGGCTCGATTATTTACAGACCGCCCTCATATAGCTATATTATTGCTAAGTGCGGCATAAAACTAAACTCACTCACTCACTGTGGCAGTGTGGCAGTAATAAAACAAATATCTGCTCATGATATAGTCACAATGGTACCATTGACTCTGCTTCTAGGAGAGATTTCTTATGGATGTGGAAAGGGTTTTGTGGCTTTCACTTATTTGCATATACTGTTGGATGAAGTGATAAACAAAAACTGAAATCTGCAGAATTCATTTTGTTGTCTTTCAACAAGCATAGTTGGTTGAGAGCTTGTTACTCTTCCAACTGAATGGTCGATGGATAAAACAAGGGCTGTTTGGCTTGGAGTCTGTATACTGACCGAGGTATCCATGATAAAATTGTGTCATAGTTGCTCAGTATGTTATTTCTAGCACAAGCCTAGAGTTGGGCATGTGCACACAGTCTTGCAATATGTGTGGTTGCCACGGGACTTAAACAGTGTGTTCGATATACAAGAAACGATCGATAATATACAATGAGGTTTGAGAGAATATGTTATAGACACACAAAAACTTTCATTTAGGTAAGTTATTACAGGTAATTTTCAATATACAAGAAACGATCTATAATATACAAAGACGCCATTGAGGTTTGAGAGAATATGTTATAGACACACAAAAACTTTTATTTAGGCAACTTATTACAGGTAATGAGGCAACACAAGATGTGATCAGTTATATGTTAATACAACACCTTAAGAGAAGAAATATGTAGCAATCAGAATGATAACGTACATCAGAAACTGAAAAGAATTTACAGTAAATAACATGTACATGTTTTCTTTAGAGCTTTTGCACAGTTACCATTTGACAGAGATGTCCATATTGTGTGGATAAGTCCATAAAGGCCACCAATGTCATTTTCCTATGCGCATGGGGAGATGTGAGGAGTACAAGCAGTGTGAAATCTCCACAGTCACTGGCCCGACTGACTAGTGAATTTTCATGGGGTCATTTTTAAAAATATCACGCTCTCCGACTTCTTAAGTTATAATACACTTTTAAATCATGCAAGATTATGGCCTGATAAATGATGGTATTTTACTTTTTGTAATCTGTTGATTAGTTTCTACATTCAAATTTTGGCCTAGTAAGTTATTTTGTGAATTAACTTTCAGGCATAACTAGCCTGACTGGCAAGCAAAATTTGGAAACTATTTAGCACACTGAGTACAAACAGGTTTGTTGAAAACGTTATACAGCCAGATTTATATGTACACCTCTGTACAACAGACATTCCAGGATCTGGCCAGCTGTACAACAGACATTCCAGGATCTGCTTGCCAGCTGTACAACACTGTACAACAGACATTCTTGGAGCTGCCCAGCTGTACAACAGACATTCCAGGAGCTGGCCAGCTGTACAACAGACAATCCAGGAGCTGCCCAGCTGTACAACAGACATTCACGGATCTGGTCATCTGTACAGCACTGTACAACAGACATTCCCGTAACTGGCCAGCTGGTGGTGTTAGGTTTTTATAATTAGTACTGCATTTCCTCTAATCAGCGCCGGCCTGCAATAAGCGCCGGTTAAGCAAATGTTCAAGTTGTAATCGCCCGGCCTCTAGTCTGTCTCACAGTCCCAAAACCAATAATTATTTTCCATATAATAATAACCATAAACCATATTATTTTCCCTACTGCCTCGCCCTCTCTGCATTGCTAAAGCCCTAAATGAATCAAGTCTAGATTTCCCCCTATCAAATACATATATTCAGAGACTAAGCGTTAGTCGACCGGGCCCCCAGTAAGCGCCGTGTGTGCCACATGTTTACAATGGAGCTTTCAAATACAATACCAATGGAGAAATCTATATGTATTAGAAAAAAACCCAACAAAACTAAGACATATAAGCAAACCAACAAAACAAAAAACCTACAACCAAATCCCAACAAAGCAAATACCAAAAATACAAAAAACAACACAAAACCAAAAAGAAGACAACAACAAAAACTACCTCTATTGATGCAATACATAGAAAAGAAAAATAATTCTATCAGTTTGAAGCTGATTCTAGTTTTCTACCTTGATGTTCATAAATCTTTCAAAATGAATACATCATAGCACATTCGGGAGGTTGAAACGTGTAATCACTGGGGATTTATAGAAAATTACGCCTCAAATCAGGTTCTTCAGATCTTGCTCTATCGTGAAAGTCTTTATTAAGAATAACTTCACTGGTTATTCCATATCCCATAATATACTATCCCCCCCAAAAAAAGAAACGCATAGGCGTTTTGTATTTTTTTAAATCTATTAATTACCTTTTAGAAGGCAATCGTCAAAATATGTATCAAAAGTGTTGATTACATGATTTTACACAACTGCCCAAGTAAAAACTCGGCTTTACCTGAAAATGTTGAGTTTCATGAGATTTCTTACAAGGATTAAAACGGATGAGAGTACCCTCCCCTTTCTACAATACAAATAGTCCATGTTATTTCTTCCTATATTTGACATAAAGAACATATCTGTTTACGCTGTTGAAAGTGTTTTTCGTGGTTTTCACGTTTATAGAACCTGAAGAGGATGAAATTTTGAATACTGAACGTGATGATCTAAATTATGCAGATCGTTACGCTGTAGCCGTGAAACGTGGTCATCTCATAGTTGGACATGTTCCAAAAGCACAGAGCCAAGTGTGTAACTACTTTCTGAAGAGAGGTGGCGATCTGACTATACAGGTGATAATACAAATAAGGACTTTAAACGTTCAGATTTACCCCAAGGTGGTCTTGAAATACAAGCGTTATACATATTCACTGGCGTTACTAGTGACGATGAAAAACTGTCTCGTATTTTGTCTGTTATCTCATCTCTTTAGTCAGTATGTTCAAGCGGAGGTCTTACACTATCAAAGAACAACTTGATGTTGTGAAGAAGGTAAAGTTTGAGTATGGGGGATAATCCTACCTCAAGGAGTCTGGGAATTGATAGGAAACAGCTTAGAGAATGGTCTAAAAACGAGTCAAAATTTGTGGAGTCGGCACAGTCGTCAATGGGATTTCTTGGCGCAGGGCGCAGATGAGCACTCCCTGAACTGGAACAATGTCTGTATGCGTGGTTCAAGGAACAGAGAAGGAGAGAATGATCGTAAACTTTAAGAGAATTTGGGAACAAGCTCTCCGAGTTGAACGTCAACTTGAACTTGGTACCAGTTCGACTAGTTTTAGTGACAAGTGGATCTACAATTTCTGCCAACGCCACAACATTAAAAGCAGACGTGTCACACATCAGGGTCAGCAACCGAGATCATGCTGCTATCAAGACAATCATGCAGGATCATCTTTGCGCCGTAAAATACGTTGGGTTACGATGCTGCTCATATCCCCAACATGGATGAAACGCCATGCTATATAGACATAACGACAGGAACAACGATGGATTTCATTGGCAACAAAAACGTCGATGCTGCCCATACTGGCAATGACAAGCATCGGTTTACAAATGTAAACATTATTGATACAAAACAATGCTGGGCTCCATTAGAAGCATAGTCAAACGAAATTAATAGTTTAATGTAAGCAATACGCTTATTTAAAACTTCCGTGTTAGTCTATGCGAAGAATAAATAATGTCCAGACAATATGTCTACTGAACAGTGTAAAACAGTTAAAGTGGACATTTCGATCAATTACAAAGAGTGTAAATGAGAAACGACCATTCATTCGTTTATGGTCCCCTCGGTCTGATACTAAGTGTATCAAATATTTCGCCGAAACGTACGTTCAGTGTCTTCTGAAAGTCTTACAAAATGCCTGTAACTGCAAAAACATGCGCCAGCTATTGTTCTTTCTTGATATTGCTTCATTGCAGGGCAAAGGCGCCTGTTTCTTGGACATCAGAGTTGAGTGACACGCTTACGTGTAGAGCACAGCCTACCTGGAAGCCTTCCATCAAACATGTTTGTAGTTCACTGCGAAGGAAATGAAGCTTTTTTATGTATTTCCCCAAGTCTCTTCCATCTACGATTCGCTTTTCGTCTATTATTGCATTAATATCCGCAAGGATACTGACGAACAAGACGAAAACACAAACAGCTGCACATAGGTTGTGGACATAATTGGCCGGGTATTCTTCTCCGAAGACTTTGTATTTGAGCTCCGGGTCTGGAGAAAAGTACGAAGTTGGTGGGCTCTTTTTGAAGACGGTGCTAAACGCACCGGTCATTGTTGCAGTTGTGGTAGGTACAGCAAATGGAATGGAATTTAAGACATTTTGAAGAGCGAACATCAGATTCGACTTAAAGGATTTGAGGAAGCTTGCATCGTATCTTTCCAGAAGACCCTCTGTCCTCTGAAAGAAGTCATCCATCATCAGACTGATCTCGTCCGATTTGCTATTTTCCTTCACTTTCTCATAGATAGCTGCAGCATTATAGACGATACCTCCGACAGCAGAAACTCCTGACCCAAAAAGAGTAATGACGGCGGCTGATACTCCTCCTGTGAAAGGGGCTGCAACTATTCCACCTACAGCAAGCACTCCTCCAAAGACGCTAATTAATTTTCCATACATTCGATTTCCAGCTTGAGCTAAAGAAAGCTTATTCATTTCATTGATGATATCATCCCACCGATTCAGAAGCGCCTCTCCACATGCCCTCCACTGTCGTAGGCTTATCTCGAATGCCTCAGCGTCAAGGACGTCTGACATCTTTACGGATCTCTGCAAGAAAATCCCCTGATATTATTTATTTAGAATTTTGATTCGACGACAAAGACATACATATGGCATTTAGTATGACAATGCAAAAGCGTTTCAGCATGACTCACGTTGACCAATGCTGACGTAGCTGTGATGAAACATGCATAGGAAATCTATTCTCTTGCGTCCTGTGAAGGTCCGGGTTAGAATTGGCCTTCAGTAACCCTTGTCGTAAGAGGCGACTAACGGGATCGGGTGGTCAGGCTCGCTGACTTGGTTGACACATGTCATTGTATCCCAATTGCGTAGATTGATGTTCATGCTGTTGATCACTGGATTGTCTGGCCCAGACTTGATTAGTTACAGACCGACGCCATATGGCTGGAATATTGCTGAGTATGGCGTTTAATCAAACCAACCAACCAACCAACTATTCTCTTACACCATAGTTTGTTTATGTAAGAATATTCAACGTAAGGCTGTAGAGTGCTGTTCCAATCATTTGACCTGAAACAATGACGCAGGTATTGAACCGGCCAATATTTTGCTTCTACTAAAGCTAAACATAAAACATGTAAAAAAGAGGAAAATCAAACTACCCCAATGAGATCTGCGTCAGCCTAAGACATAACGCTCGAATGCATTTGCATAATGTGAGCCGTGAACTGGGACCTGGGTGACCTTGTACAAAGCGATATTAGCACTAAGGTGATAGCAACTCCGATACTTTAACATAGACTTACGACAGTCGTTGCACTAAGCTTGTTTTGTACAACGGCAATCTGGAGTACATTGCCAATTGGCCGAGTTGAACAGTTTCATCCACGGGAGCATCTGACTTTTCTGACAGTTTCTGAAGGTCAGTATATTTTTTGTTTATTTATTTTATATGGTTTCAATTTAAGAAATACATTTCGCACTATCCCCATGTATAGTGTAATAAAGAACATTTTTGCCCTGAACTATACTACAAACAAAAAGTATGGGTACACCCTAAAATGGATAAACAAAAACGTGGTGAGGTCATTTATACTCTAAGGTAAATGCAACTTTTTGTGAGCTTAATGGGCCCTTTTAACGACATGTTGGAGCATGCAGTGGGGGAACTGATTCAATATTCGTTGAGTTTGAGTGAAATGAAACATTGTCAAAAACAGCGAAAAACCAGGGTGCTGAAACACACCAGCTCCATGTTTGATTCAAACGCCTGTGATTCAACCAGTATATTCGACACTACGACAAACATATGGAATTCACAATTATTAATAGTAAGCATGAATACAGAGCTACTGAAATGCTATTCATATGAAGTGCTATACCGTTCACCATTTTTACCGACATGCTCTTTCTTAATACAAAATTTTCAGCGCACGGTCTTCTATGACAGTTAACCAGTCACATATCTTGAAGTGAGTATCCATATAGCCCTTAACGCCATATTGACAAACAGCATTGGAAGACACTCCACTTAAGCTTTATTATACTTTACAGACCACTGCATAATAACCTTTTTCTTGGATACTATCAAAAGCTTGTTTTACATGGGTTAAATAGCTGTTAGGTTTCCTTCATGATACGGTAACGTCGTTGTGTTATCATGTACTTTCCAACACACGCCCTGTATTGATGATTTGTATGAATTTGAAATGTTTTTCCCTATTGTGTGTTACATGTATTAGAGAAAGTAGGAGGAAGTTTGGCAAGCGCGCACCATTTCAAATACACACCAACTGTATATTTTTTCTGTTTTCCTGAATACTTTCAACCCTCTAGTGCCCACAGTAAGAAATATGCATAGAAAAATTCTAAAACAATGTTACAATATCACTTTCAGTCATATCTGAACACCTCTACAGCGTTTTGGAAAATAACTGTTCACTTCAGGGATTAACAAAATGTATCATATACGATACAATGGGAATTAGGGTGTTGTGTATCACATCTGATGCAATATCATATAACAATCAAAACTAAACTATTTGTTTAAACGACTGTTTTATTAACTGAATTTGCACACAGCAAATTGAAGCAACTTTGAGAACATTGAGCCCCGCTGTGTTTTGTGAATTGAAACGTTGTAAATGTTTGACTGTCGGTACGATATCATAAAGTTGAATCTAAAGGAGTCTGATTATCGGATGTGAGTGAGTGAGTGAGAAAAGTTATACATACATGCTAAGTACATGCAGTTTATGTATTGGGGTTTCATTGATGTCATTTCAATCTGAATATCACACAATGTGTATTGATTATGAAATGTTTAGTTAATGTTATTCAGCAGTCATTCGTGACCAACTCGAGTTATCCGTGACAAGCTGAAAAACAATTTGTCACCCTATAGAAGGATTACATATTGGTGTTTTAAGACCAGAACTACTTCAAACAAGAACGATAACTCCCAATAGTAACACACGTCCCAGAACCACTCGCACATTGCTGTTTATACAAAAATAAACCTATTTGAAAACATGCTACTGATAAGACAAACAAGGATATTTAGGTAGGTAGCTATGGACAAAAGACTCTGTAAAGCTTTATTTAATACATAAAACTCTTATCAGGCCTTTATCTCTCTCCGCTAGTGTGCATACCACTTTTGGTATCGGCATTTTCCTGGTCATGCGGCCTATGACTCAAGCCAGCACTTCCTGGTCACGTACACTATTGTGATCACACGACAGGGAGGAAAGTGTTGTTTGCCCTAGCAATAAATTTTCACATCAATGAACTATATAATGTTGATCTCAGCGAAACCATTTAATGTGAATCTCCTATGATTTCTTTGGTTTTCGTAATGAAAGCTTGTTGGGCTTGTTGTATCCCTTGTTGTATGTACTTTTTTTCTCGTCTTCACTGATGGCAGTGCTTTTACGAGACTTGGACCGAATCTCTTGTTTCATTCTGTGATATTTGCGAGTTCAGAGAGGACCAAACGAAATTTTCCTCTGAGATTTTACTGTCAGTGAGTGCGGTGGAAATAAGGTCGTCTATTGTTTTGCTTCAACTAGAATTCTAATTTCGTCATGTTTCAATGATTTTCGATGTAATCTGCGGGATGCAAACTTAAACACCAACCTCACCAACCCTGACACCCCAGCTGTTATTTCAATGCCCAGCACTATGGGTGCGTCTACGATGGTGGTCAACAAACGGACACCTACTGCTCCTAATCCCATGCTGGTTGCCATAAGGGTGGTATCAGCCCCATCCACGAAATTGAAAGCTTTATGGTATTTCTAACATAATGCTGTCCGTATGTCTCGATCTTGTTCTAGTTGACGTTTCATGTCGCATAACTGTCTCAAACGAAACCCATATACGGTTTCCATTGTTTTTGCTACTTCTTCTACGACTGGGTACAGCCCCATCCTGTGTGTATAATATATTTTATAATATATTTTTAAATTGGGTTTCATTTAATTTTTGATGAGTATATTTGAGGCTTATAACGTTTATATCATCGTACAGGAAAATATGTGAGACTCTAAGAAAATCTTTGTTCACACGAAAGCTATAGAGGGTTATGAAGGGGGGTATAACTCTCAGTAAGGGTTCCGATCCCAGTTGTATGATGATATGGCAACGATGGTACCAGGGTCTACTTTCCAAGTGTATTGTCAACCCAGGTGTAAGTTGTCGTTCTGAACCATCACGACCCTCTCCGAGAAAGATTTCTATTACGAGTGTGGAGTTTGGTCTTATAGCCATAAGGTCTGATTGGTAATTGGGGAAGTCGACCCTTAAATGCGAATCCCCATTTGAATCTAACATGCTGCCCACGTGACCTGGTACTCGTATAACTTTTACATCACCAGAATCCGGAATGAAAGACCCGAGAATGATACCGTTGTTCTTAATCTCGGAGACGTAATCATCATAAACGAGATATGAGGTGCGATGAGGGTCATGTTGATCAACCATTCGGGCTCTTTAAATCCTGCTAATGACACCCGCTCGTACACGTTGTCTTTCAAATGTAGGACGTACAATGTGTTTTCCTCACCAGGCAGATCGAACCCCTCTGTGTCTCCTAAATAACCGAGTGTGACGTTGGGATGATGATTGTTCATCGTCTATATATAGAGGATTATATGTTATTTAATTATCCATGTTATACATGATGTTTTTACTCTCATTGCAGATCTCCATCATTTATGAACGGCGGGAATAAACAGTCATCTGTAAAAAGTATTGCCTACTTATTTATGATGGAGATCTTTCACCTCTGCAACTTGGTACATCAGAGATTCTAACCTACAGTTTCAAGACACAAACATGCCAGTCGTTGGATGCCCTATTCCGTCATGCGACTTCGTGACAGAAGACCTTGATTCTGTGGTGGTAGCAGCACTCTTAACAGCCCATGCAACAGTCAACACTACAGGACCTGCCATCTTTGCAAAAGTAGAAAAAGTGAAACAACCAAGCATATCATCTGCTGGAACAAGCGAAGATTGGTCATACTTTAAATCCAGATGGAAAGACTATGTCCAGGCGACCAAGGTCACAGGGAAGGACCGCGTTGTACAGCTTCTTGAATGCTGTGAAGAGTCACTGCGCAGAGATCTCACCCATCGGCTGGCGGATCCCTCACAGAAAAATCCGAGGAAGATGTCCTGAAGGCCATTAGACTCCTTGCTGTCAGAGAGGAGAACATCATGGTAGCTCGCGTTACCCTCCACAGCATGACTCAGGATCAAGATGAAACTGTTCGCTCCTTCGGTGCCAGGCTAAGAGGTCAGGTGGTTGGTTGGGTTGGTAGGTAGGTAGATAGATAGGAAGGTGGTTAGGTGGGTAGGTAGATAAGCGGGTAGGTGGGTAGGTAGGTGGGCAGGTGGGTAGGTAGGTGGCTAAATAGGTCGGTAGTTTGGCAAGTAGGTATGTGGGCGGGTGGGTGGGTGGGTAGGTTGGTTGGTTGGGTTGATGGGTAGGTAGATAGATAGGAAGGGGGTTATCTGGGTAGGTAGGTGAGTAGGTAAGTGGGTAGGTAGGTGGGTGGGTAAGAAGGTGGGTAGGGAGGTAGTTGGTGGGTGGGTAGGTATGTAGGTATGTGGGCGGGTGGGTGGGTGGGTAGGTTGGTTGGTTGGGTTGATGGGTAGGTAGATAGATAGGAAGGGGTTATCTGGGTAGGTAGGCGGGTAGGTAGGTACGTAGGTAAGAAGGTAGGTAGGGAGGTACCTGTTGGGTGGGTAGGTTGGTTGGTCGGGTTGATGGGTAGGTAGATAGATAGGAAGGGGGTTATCTGGGTAGGTAGGTGTGTAGGTAAGTGGGTAGGTAGGCGGGTAGGTAGGTGGGTAGGTAGGTGTGGAAGAAGGTTTGTAGGTGATAGGGTGGGTGGGTGGGTTGGTAGGTAGGAAGGTTGGTAGGTGGGTGGTTTTATGGGTAGGTAGGTAGGTTATTAGGTAGGTAGGTGGTTAGGTAGGCGGGCAAGTGGGTAGGTAGGTAGGTTGGTGGTTGGTTTGGTTGGTAGGTAGGTTGACAGGTAGGCAGCCGGGCGCACTGGTGGGTGGGTGGGTACTTTGGTATGTACGAAGGTGGTTGATTGGGTAGGTAAGTTTGGTAGGTAGGTGGGCGGGTGGGTTAGTAGGTAGATAGGTTGGTAGGTAGGATGCTAAGTAGGTTGTGGGTGGGTAGGTGGTTGGTGAGGTTGGTAGGTAGGTAGATAGATAGGAAGGTGGTTAGGTGGGTAGGTAGGCACCTTGGTTTGGAGACGGCTAGGTGGGTAGGTAGGCTGGTGGGTAGGTGGTTTTATGGGTAGGTAGGTAGGTAGGTTGGTGGGTAGGTTGGTCGGTAGGTGAGTGAGTGAGTGAGTGAGTTATTATTTAACGTCACATCGGCAATATTTCAGCCATATCGTGACGAGTGAGTGAGTTAAGATTTTAAGTCACATCGGCAATATTTCAGCCATATCGTGACTAAAGCAAGTTCTAAATAGATCAACAATTTAAGTGAAATGATAAAATTCTGCCAACGAAGGACAGTAAAAAACTAGATTATCACAGATATAGATATAAAACTAGTAACAAAATCTAAAACATTTGAACTATACAAGACGATACAATATAAAAAACAGGCTAATGATCGCCAACAACTGAAGGTAGATCACCATGCTAGGGACCATGGGGACTTACAGTACATTTGCTTCCTGCATGGACCCTAGCTGGATTTACACCATCCCTTCAGCCGTTAGCAATTTAGCAAATCTAGGTGAGCAAATATTGTGAAATGATCCTGCGTGGTTGGAAAATGTCCGGTCTGGCTGATGTGCTTGAATGATTTTAAACAATGACCAGTGATTGTAACCAGTGATAATTACATGTGGCTTGAGATACCAGTAACGAGGAAGTTTCCTGTATTTGTGTAATGTGTAGTGTCAACACTTCCGCTATTGTTACATAATTTACCGATGAATAAGTTCAATGGATGTCAATTAGTGTCATGGAATAAGTGCTCATTTGTCAATTAATTTTATGAGAGATGTCTAACTTGTTGTTATATTCAGGAGGCGACAAGAGATTTACGTTTTCTGTCTTTTTTAAGTTCTCAAAAGTAGACATGGTCAGACTGAAATGCGTCATCATAATAATGTGAGAAGAGTACAGACACATTTTTCGCATTAATAATATGCTTGCATTAATTTCATGATTTACAGTATATATCCATTCATACATCTAACACAAGCTGTCAAATTACATGTTGCAGCTCTGCTTAGAATTGATGAATTCCATGACTGATAAATGCAAAATTCTGCACGCAGTTTGCACAGAATGTGATTTTCTGCAAGATCTATACATTTGTGTGCCGAATAGGGCTGCAACAATTCACCCAGACATCGATTTGATTCAATTTTCGATATTGGACCCTTGATTCAATCATTTTCGTTTTGATTCTTCAAACAGGTTAAACGTAAGAAAATGGAAAATAATCAACCAAGCACGTTTTGCCTCATTTCAGCTCTCAAAACAGTTTGAGTAGGAGTCAAATTTACATTCTTGCTGTGTGGAAATAATTTAATAGGTATTCAAATATGGAATCGAAATAGTGATAACGGTTGTCGAAAATCGAAACTAAGGTGTCAGATTTGACTTTTATGAATTAAACCAAATCGTTGCAGCCCTAGTGCCGAATGGCCATTCCTGCAAAATATACGACAACCACAGTATAGTGGTGTGTAGGATATCTTTGTGTCTTCCTTGTTGTGTCTTAATCACATTGCATGTCAACTTTTTCTGTTCTGCCCAGTCCTGGAGAGCGAGATGAGGGTTCTGTTCTTCCAAGAGACTGTTCCCTGCCTGTTTAACATCTGCAAGGCGTTCCCTCCACTGTGTGATGATGTCACTTCACTCCTCACCCAGATCGGCCGGGTCTATTTCTCCCATCTCACAACCACAAACTCAGTAGTGGGATCTAGTAAGTACTTCATGATGTCTCGTCACCCAGATCGGCCGGGTCTGTTTCTCCCATCTCACAACCACAAACTCAGTAGTGGATCTGGTAAGTACTTCATGATGTCTCCTCACCCAGATCGGCTGAGTCTGTTTCTCCCATCTCACAACCACAAACTCAGTAGTGGGATCTAGTAAGTACTTTATGATGTCTCCTCACCCAGATCGGGCGAGTCTGTTTCTCCCATCTCACAACCACAAACTCAGTAGTGGGATCTAGTATGTACTTCATGATGTCTCGCCACCCAGATCGGCCGGGTCTGTTTCTCCCATCTCACAACCACAAACTCAGTAGTGGCATCTAGTCAGTACTTTATGATGTCTCGCCACCCAGATCGGCCGGGTCTGTTTCTCCCATCTCACAACCACAAACTCAGTAGTGGGATCTAGTAAGTACTTCATGATGTCTCGACAACCAGATCGGCCGAGTCTGTTTCTTCCATCTCACAACCACAAACTCAGTAGTGGGATCTAGTATGTACTTCATGATGTCTCGCCACCCAGATCGGCCGAGTCTGTTTCTCCCATCTCACAACCACAAACTCAGTAGTGGGATCTAGTAAGTACTTCATGATGTCTCGTCAACCAGACCGGCCGGGTCTGTTTCTCCCATCTCACAACCACAAACTCAGTAGTGGCATCTAGTCAGTACTTTATGATGTCTCCTCACCCAGATCGGCCGGGTCTGTTTCTCCCATCTCACAACCACAAACTCAGTAGTGGGATCTAGTAAGTACTTCATGATGTCTTGTCACCCAGATCGGCCGGGTCTGTTTCTCCCATCTCACAACCACAAACTCAGTAGTGGGATCTAGTAAGTACTTTATGATGTCTCCTCACCCAGATCGGCCGAGTCTGTTTCTCCCATCTCACAACCACAAACTCAGTAGTGGGATCTAGTAAGTACTTCATGATGTCTCGACAACCAAATCGGCCGAGTCTGTTTCTCCCATCTCACAACCACAAACTCAGTAGTGGGATCTAGTAAGTACTTCATGATGTCTCGACAACCAGATCGGCCGGGTCTGTTTCTCCCATCTCACAACCACAAACTCAGTAGTGGGATCTAGTAAGTACTTCATGATGTCTCGACAACCAGATCGGCCGAGTCTGTTTCTCCCATCTCACAACCACAAACTCAGTAGTGGGATCTAGAAAGTGCTTCATGATGTCTCTCAACAGATTTCCGCATTGGATATATTCTTTCCCAAACTTGAATGATATTATTTAACCTCCTAATAACTGTTTTCTAGGGATGTGGGACTTTCTGTTTAGAAGTTATGCTCCATAGGTCAAGAGCCTGGAAGTGATGTTATTAAACCAGACATGCTTATAAGTTTGCTATTCAAGTACTTCTTCAAAAAAGGCGACTTAAGGGATCGGGTGGTTAGGCTTGCTGACTTGGTTGACACATGTCACCATATCCCAGTTAGGTAGATCGATGCTCATGGTGTTGATCACTGGATTGTCTGGTCCAGACCCGATTATTTACAGACCGCCGCCATATAGCTGTAATATTGCTAAGTGCGACATAAAACTAAACTAATCACACCTTTCTAGTTTGTGAATAACTAATGGTAAGATACATGTGCAACTTCTAAATACCAGTCAGATAGCCTATACCTCATAATGGTTATAGGGACTGGTCATTTATCGTGGGAGTGAGGAGTGTTAAATAGACACATGACACAGTGAAAGATAGTCACCAAAATCTCACAGTTCATTACAATTAAGAAGGTGGACGGGAGAAGTTGGCATGTTGTCCAGATGATGCATGATTAAACATACAACTGAAGCTATTTACCAGATACAGAAAATACTGATAGCCTGTTTATAACCTATTCCAAATCAGTGTATATCTTTTTATGAAGATGGCTATACAAATTGGTCTAGGGGTGAATTGGTGCCATTGATAATTAAGGATAGTTTTGGTTCTGTTAGTTGATTTTCATGACGACAGAATGGACAACTGCAGTGTTCTAGCCCGTGCCATTGCATCAGTCGCGCACTAATATTTAACATGGTGCACTGTACAGGTACAGGCGAGTCATGTCAGAGCATCCATAGATGTAAATATGAAATCCAGCAATACACCTGTTCTTGCCGAAACGTGTTTTGAGTCCTCTGAACTTAGCTCATGACTTTCAATCTGTGTTAAGAATGATTGTGCAAAACCAGCAAATCAGTGTAATAAGAAAAACAAAGGTTCTTCATAAAATTGGATTGCGATGGGTCAGTTTTGTTAAGTGAACCAATCGGTTTGCATGTTAAGGTTTCAAACAGCGGCTGTCATACGACGATATCAGTCTCAACGTCCTACATTTTTCACAAAAAAGCAATGAACATGTGTTTGTTTTCTTAAAAAATATGTGTTTCCGTCTCTGCCAGTGCCTATAATTCACCCGTGAAGGTCCGGGTTGGAATATTGATCTTCAGTAACCCATGCTTGTTGTAAGAGGCGAATAATGGGATCGGGTGGTCAGGCTCGCTGATTTGGTCGGCACATGTCATCTGTTCCCAATTGCGCAGATTGATGCTCATACTGTTGATCACTGGATTGTCTGGTCCAGACTTGATTATTCACAGACCGCCGTATAGCTGGAATATTCTTGAGTGTGGCATAAAACTAAACTCACTCATGCCTATTATTCAAAGGAGCATCAAATCGTAAGATATGTGCGTTACCCACCAAATAAACACTGTGTTTACAGGGTATGGTTAAGTTAAGGTTGAGAATTTCGAACCAACATAACAGGTATCCTCATGTTATTGGATTTCGGACGCTTAAACATTCGTGAGCAACCATAATTGGAAAACATGCCATTAACCTGAAACATAATCCGACAGCATAAATGTATAAGTCACTGTCAGACTGATCATAATTATAAGGATCGCTGTTCATTGTTGAAGTATCCAGTTGTTTTCAGTTTCAGGTTGAAAACTCAGACTTTGTGTTTGCTAGGCTACAGCAAAAATGTTCAATCAGTATTGGAATGTTCAGTTGAGATGTCACTGAACATAGAGATTGGGTTCATTTATCGTTTATTATTTATTCAAATTTTTCAAATACTTTTTGATGTTAACTCTTTTATTAATGTGTTGAAAATAGTTTCGGGGCGGTGGGGTAGCCTAATGGTTAAAGCGTTGGCTCGTCACGTCGAAGACCCGGGTTCAATCCCCACATGGGTACAATGTGTGAAGCCCATTTCTGGAGTCTCCCGCCGTGATGTTGCTGGAATATTGCTAAAAGCGGCGTAAAACCAAACTCAGTCAGTCAGTCAGTGAAAATAGTTTCTCTTGTTGACCTCACCTCGATTGAAAGTTTGAAAAAGGAATGATACTCATACTGGTAACTTGTAGCGTATGGCTAAAAATCACAGCAATTTGACATGACCCACATTATTTTCTAAATAACCCACAATTGGGGTCTGGTGTGCCATGGGCTTACTATTGAGAAATGCTGGAATGAACACTGCAACTGAGAATGAGGGTAGTGCTGTTACTGGTACAGAATTCCAAAAGCACTGACCTTTTCTGGATGAAACTTTGCAATGCAGATCAGTCTGGGGATAATCTGGTGATTTTGATGATTTGGGATATTGAAAAAGACTGAAAGGCATTTTGTTTTTCAATTTCACCAAACAGAATGTATAAGATGTATAAGCAGCTGAACTCTGAATTTCTGAAAATTGGGAGGATTTGTGATGACTCTTGTTCTGCAATTTGCCAGTTTGGTTGATAAACATATTGAGTAACATCTCTAAGGTTTGCTGTGTAAATGAAAATTTAAATCTTATTATCCTTTCTTCACAGATTTTTCCCTGGTTCCGGGGCAGGATGGTCACACGGACACATCAGAGCCCGCTTGTAAGCGGCAGCGGGTGAGTGAGGTGTCGTCCTACAGCCGGCTGTACAACACTGTACAACAGACATTCCAGGAGCTGGCCGGTCAGGCTGTTGTCACCAACAGCATCTTCTGATCCTTCAATAAACTTGTACAGAAACACTTGTGTTGTTCATAGTGCATCAGTAGCACAATATGTAGCTGCAGTTATTGTATATTGATTCATGATTGTGTTTGGGCGGATTGTGGGGTAGCCAAGTGGTTAAAGTGTCGGCTCATCACACCGAAGGCCCAGGTTCACTTCCCAATTCTGGTGTCACCTGCAGTGATATTGTTGGAATATTACTAAAAGTGGTGTAAAACTTACCTCTCTCTCTCTCATGATTGTGTTTGTGATGCTGTACTATGATGTCAGTATTTGACTTGATTGTGTATGGTTTAAAAATGATAATTTTGCAGTGGTAGTGTGTAGGGGTGTCGCGATACGCGAATGTATCGATGCATCGATACATTTTACTGACGATACGATACGCGATACATGCTTGCGTGTATCGATTCCTATTTTAAAACTTTATCGATTCAAATTTTTATGCTATATCCATCTCCTTCAAAGTCTTGATAGTAAAATTATACGAGATCGCTCCGATAAATAGATGTAGCTAGCTTACTTAAAAAATAGGTTGGAAACTAACAGCTTTTGTGATTGGCTAGACTATTTTGATGGACCAATCAGCGAGCGCGTACGTTGCCGGTAAGGTAATGCTATGAAAAGGCGCGTAAATTATGTATCGCGATACGTATCGTATCGTGACCTTAAAATCGTGATACGTATCGTATCGTGAGATTGGTATATCGTGACACCCCTAGATGTCATCTGTGGGATGACTCCACGCCCTGCTACATACTCCCCCCGTCAACAGAAGGCACGTCCCGAGCCGCATAGTTGGGTACTGAGACTTATTTTGCTCAAATTTGATATGAACGTGCTCAGCCCCACGTTGGGCGCCAATGTAGCGGCCATAAAATTTCCGAGTCCTGTGCTGGGATTCGAACCACGGACCTTCTGATCAGACGTCGGACGCCTTGTCCATATGACCAAAGAGGTTAACCCCGTCAGCAAGCTGACAAGGTGAGGATGTCATCCGTGGGATGACTCCACGCCCTGCTACATTTGTGTTCATAAATCTTTCAAAATGAATACATCATAGAACAATGTAGATGCGGGATGTTTAAACTTTTAATCACTGGAGATATAAAGAAGATCACACCTCAGATCTTGCATTACCTTGAATGAAAATCTTTATTAAGAATCACTTCACTGGCAATCCCACATGATAATATACTGCGGTTTGTACTTTATTTACAGCAAGTGTAGCATTGTATATCAACCTAAAAACTTGAAGAACAAATATTGACAAAGAGATTGCAGTGTTACATGAAGTAACGTCAGAAGGACTTAGTTTAGTGTGCGGTTTTTCCATTTTAAGACCTCTGTCATAATAATGGACAAAGGTCAGTTCATTTTCTCAAGGGATGCCAGTTTGAATAATGCTATGCTACATAATGCCTGCCTAGGTGATATGTCATAGATTGAAGTGAAATAATCATTGTTATAAACATAATAACGGTGATACATAAAGAAGAATTATATGCAGTTTATGACCTATCTTAACTGATCCCTTTCAAGCTACTGAAAATATTGAAAAACGGGGGGAAATGACAACTCGTTTCCGCACTATATAGCCAAGGAGTTATAGTTTGTTATTGTGTCATGGTGGAATGTAAATTACCCTAGCATGTTTTCAGTTCTTAAGAAACATCTTAATTGAAAACGCACTAAGTACTGAGTATATCCCCTGAAAACATAATTGATACAAAACAATGCTGGGCTCCAATAGATGCATAGTCAAACAAAATTCATATTTTAATGTAAGCAATACGCTAATTCAGTGCTTCCGTGTTCAGTCTAGAAGAGGGAAATTGAAACAGGAACGCCTTGATGCGAGGAATCAACATATACCATTTACATTAACCAACTACAACCTATTTTTACACACTATAAATAATGTCCCGACGTAAGTCTACTGAACAATGTAAAACAGTTAAAGTGGACATTCAGATTTTTAATTAAACGAAAAACGACCGTTCATTCGTTCATGGTGACCTCGCCATAAGTGTACCAACTATACCGAAAAATATATTTCGAAATATTTCCATGAAAAGTACGTTCAATGTCTTCTGAAAGTTTTACATGATGTGCCTGTTGCTGCACATGCGCCAGCTATTGTTCTTTCTTGATATGGCTTTACGGCAGGGCAAAGGCGCCAGTTTCTTTAACATCAGAGTTGAATGAGACGCTTTCGTGTTGAGAACAGCCTACCGTCAAACATTGTTTTAGTTCATTGCGAAGGAACTGAAGCTTTTCTACGTATTCCCCCAAGATTCTGCCATCTACGATTCGCTTTTCGTCTATTATTGCCTTAATATCCACAAGGATACTGAGAAACAAGACGAGAACACAAACAGCTGCACATAAGTTGTGGACATACGTGGCCGGGATTTCTTTTCCGAAGACTTTGTACTTGAGCTTCGGGTCTGGAGAAAAGTACGAAGTTGGTGGGTCCTTTTTGAAGACGGTGCTAAACGCACCGGTCATTGTTGCAGTTGTGGTAGGTGCAGCAAATGGAATGGAATTTAAGACATTACGAAGATCGAACTTCAGCTTCGACTTAACGGATTTGAGGAAGCTTGCATCGTATCTTTCCAGAAGACCCTCTGTCCTCTGAAGGAAGTCATCCATCATCAGACTGATCTCGTCCGATTTGCTATTTTCCTTCACTTTTTCATAGATAGCTGCAACATTATAGACGATACCTCCGACAGCAGAAAATCCTGACCCCAAAAGAGTAATGACGGCGGCTGTTACTCCTCCTGTGAAAGGGGCTGTAAGTATTCCACCTACAGTAAGCACTCCTCCAAAGACGCTAATTAATTTTCAATACATTCGATTTCCAGCTTGAGCTATGGAAAGCTTCCTCATTTCATCGATGATATCATCCCACCGCTTCACAAGCGCCTCTCCACATGCCCTCCACTGTCGTAGGCTTATCTCGAATGCCTCAGCGTCAAGGACGTCTGACATCTTTACGGATCTCTGCAAGAAAATCCCCTGATATTATTTATTTAGAATTTTGATTCGACGACAAAGACATATATATGGCATTTAGTATGAGAATGCAAAAGCGTTTCAGCATGACTCACGTTGATCAATGCTGACGTAGCTGTGATGAAACATGCATAGGAAATCTATTCTCTTGCGTCCTGTGAAGATCTGGGTTAGAATTTGGCCTTCAGTAACCCTTGTCGTAAGAGGCGACTAACGGGATCGGGTGGTCAGGCTCGCTGACACATGTCATTGTATCCCAATTGCGTAGATTGATGTCCATGCTGTTGATCACTGGATTGTCTGGCCCAAACTTGATCAGTTACAGACCGACGCCATATGGCTGGAATATTGCTGAGTATGGCGTTTAATCAAACCAACCAACCAACCAACTATTCTCTTACACCATAGTTTGTTTATGTAAGAATATTCAACGTAAGGCTGTAGAGTGCTGTTCCAATCATTTGACCTGAAACAATGACGCAGGTATTGAACCGGCCAATATTTTGCTTCTACTAAAGCTAAACATAAAACATGTAAAAAGGAGGAAAATCAAACTACCCCAATGAGATCTGCGTCAGCCTAAGACATAACGGTCGAATGCATTTGCATAATGTGAGCCGTGAACTGGGACCTGGGTGACCTTGTACAAAGCGATATTAGGTGATAGTAACTCCGATACTTTAACATAGACTTACGACAGTCGTTAACTAAGCTTGTTTTGTACAACGGCAGTCTGGAGTACATTGCCAATTGGCCGAGTTGAACAGTTTCATCCACGGGAGCATCTGACTTTTTTGACAGTTTCTGAAGGTCAATATATTTTTTGTTTATTTATTTTATATGGTTTGAATTTAAGAAATACATTTCGCACTATCCCCATGTATAGTGTAATAAAGAACATTTTTGCCCTGAACTATACTACAAACAGAAAGTATGGGTACACCCTAAAATGGATAAACAAAAACGTGGTGAGGTCATTTATACCCGAAGGTAAATGCAACTTTTTGTGAACTTAATGGGCACTTTAAACGACATGTTGGAACATGCAGTGAAGCAACTGATTAAATATTTGTTGAGTCTGAGTGAAATGAAACATTGTCAAAAACAGCGAAAAACCAGGGTGCTGAAACACACCAGCTCCATGTTTGATTCAAACGCCCAAACACAAGAGCCTAGTGTATGTGGATTTCCCATGCAGCTTGTGTATGACGTAGTGAGTGAATAAAAGCAAAAAGGGAAGCAACGACGGTTGCCGTCTGCAAACTTTCCATATGGCGGACATGTGATTCAACCAGTATATTCGACACTACGACTCTTAGAAAATGTTGACACAACGTCCCCCATTCAAACTGTGACCTCTTTGTTATACACATCATTGATAACAAACATATGGAATTCACAATACTACATTTATTAATAGTAAGCATGAATACAGAGCTACTGAAATGCTATTCATATGAAGTGCTATACCGTTCGCCAGTTTTACCGACATGCTCTTTCTTAATACAAAATTTTCAACGCACGGTCTTCTATGACAGTTAACCAGTCACATATCTTGAAGTGAGTATCCATATAGCCCTTAACGCCATATTGACAAACAGCATTGGAAGAAACTCCACTTAAGCTTTATTATACTTTACAGACCACTGCATAATAACCTTTTTCTTGGATAGTATCAAAAGCTTGTTTTTCATGGATTGAATAGCTGTTAGGTTTCCTTCATGATACGGTAACGTCATTGTGTTATCATGTACTTTCCAACACACGCCCTGTAGTGATGATTTGTATGAATTTGAAATGTTTTTCCCTATTGTGTGTTACATGTATTAGAGAAAGTAGGACGGAAGTTTGGCAAGCGCTCACCATTTCAAATATAGACACACCAACTGTATAATTTTTCTGTTTTCCTGAATACTTTCAACCCTCTACTGCCCACTGTAAGAAATATGCATAGGAAAATTATAAAACAATGTTACAATATCACTTTCAGTCATATCTGAACACCTCTACAGCGTTTTGGAAAATAACTGTACACTTCAGGGATTAACAAAATGTATCATATACGATACAATGGGAATTAGGGTATTGTGCATCACATATGATGCAATATCATATAACAATCAAAACTAAACTATTTGTTCAAACGACTGTTTTATTAACTGAATTTGCACACAGCAAATTGAAGCAACTTTGAGAACATTGAGCCCCGCTGTGTTTTGTGAGTTGAAACGTTGTAAATGTTTGCCTGTCGGTACGATATCATAAAGTTGAATCTAAAGGAGTCTGATTATCGGAAGTGAGTGAGTGAGTGAGAAAAGTTATACATACATGCTAAGTACATGCAGTTTATGTATTGGGGTTTCATTGATGTCATTTCAATCTGAATATCACGGAATGTGTATTGATTATGAAATGTTTACTTAATGTTATTCAGCAGTCATTCGTGACCAACTCGAGTTATTCCGTGACAAGCTGAAAAACAATTTGTCACCCTATATAAGGATTATTGGTGTTTTAAGACCAGAACTACAAGACAAGAACGATAACTCCCAATAGTAACACACGTCCCAGAACCACTCGCACATTGCTGTTTATACAAAAATAAACCTATTTGAAAACATGCTACTGATAAGACAAACAAGGATATTTAGCATTTATTTAATAGCAGTAAAATGAAAGACTTCCTAATGAAACGAATATCAGAGTGATCTCCCCTTATAATTGACGTGTTTCCCGTTGTATCATATTTGATACACATCACTTGTCAGACATGTTAGGTATTTATTTTAGCTGTCGAGGTTTACTTTATGATGCGTCACTGTGTTATTATTTTCCAACACACCACCTGTATTCAGGATGGTGCGAAGATTGCGGGCAGCCCATCTGACAGATTATCGGTACCAGAATGACACACCTAATTACATATGATTACAACAACCTTTAATAATAAAATAAGGAATCCAGGGCAGTGACATGGACTACCCCGAACCCTATAAACTGAAGTCATATTGTGCAATACCTAATGATAATTTACAAATAAAAGACTTAATTAGTAAAAAGGATTGCATCAATCCACATGACTTCAAAAGGCAGGATAGACAAAATAAAGAATGGCATACAAAACAATGCTGCACATATGCAGAAGCACACCTTTGATACAAAGTCCATGCACATCTACTCAAGGAAGACAGACTGGAGGAAATTCAAATACAGCTGAAAGTGTATAAATGGAGTCAAACTCATTTATGATATTCCCTTGGAACTGTCAATGTGTTGTGGATCATAAATGTGATGGTTGACCATAAATAAATCAATATTTCTGACGGACTTATCATGTTAAGTTACAATGAGTAAACTGAGTGAGGGAGTGAGTAATATTGAAATAACCTAAACATATCATGTATTTGATGAAAATTCCACTGCAATTTCTGGGCTGTCAACTGAATTTAATAATACAACTATTGTATGTTAATACTTAAACTGAACAAAACAGTTGTTTTGCATATATACAGATGTGTCTAAACATATTTATAAAGTTTAGTTCAGAACATTATGTACAGATGCTACAATTTTGAACAAAGAAACCTTTTTAGTAAACACGAAAAAAATTGGTCAAACGTAGCAGGAAATATGATATTTTAAACAAAATTGGACATTATATAAATGGAGTCATTTTACCTTCAGAAAGCATGAAGTTGCATCTGACAGCGTCTAATTTTAAGAAATTCACGGGGGAGCATGCCCCCGGACTACCTTAGATCCTCGGCCGTTTTGCGGCCTCGAAACTGGATGGTGCCCCCCATTAAGAAAAGTAAACTATGACCTTGTGTAAACTATGACCTTGTGTATGGACTATTGCATGCTACATCTATCAGAGGAGACAGGTACTGTCACTGTTAATACAAATTTTCAAACAATGTAAATTTTCAGTTCAAAATATGGTAAGTAACGAATGAATTGTTCCATTACAGTGTTGGCTCTCAGAGTTCAAATATGCATTGTTCCATTATGGTACTGACCTTTCTAACCTGTGACGTCATCCCTCAACCAAAAGAGTACGTCACGACCCTTACTATACTACTGACCCGAGTTCGATTCCCACATGAGTACAACTTGTGAGGCCCATTTCTGGTGTCCCCGTCCATTGCTGGAATATTGCTAAAAACGTCGTAAAGCCCAACTCACCCACCCTATAAAACGTTACACACAATGCCAATATGAGATACCGCACACTGCAACATTTTAACATCCTAATTATTCACATTTACACCCAGCTTAAGAGACAAAAGACCTGAATTAATAATTACTGCTATGATTTTGTTTGCGTAATGAAGACCTTCTTATCCATGTATTTGTCTCAAAAAAGGTAAATTTATGATGTACATACTAACATCATTAGCGTATATACCTGCTCTTTGACAGCTGCACTGTAATGCGATACCTGCGAGAACTATAGATTCCTGGGGATTGCTGGGTAAGCCCGACTGTCTAAATATAGCTACCTACATTTCAGCTTGTGCAATCTGGAACCTGGTGTGTGTCACGTGACGATGTTACGCAACACTGAACGCCTACGTGTTTTTGTTTACCTTTAAACGTCATATTACAATACGTTCCAGATTCAATAAGTTCCTCCTAGCACATTCTTGTGACTCTTTACTGGTTACAGTGAGTGAGAAAGTGAGATTAAATGGAGTTTTGAATAGTATTTCAGTCACATAAGGGCGTGTCGGTGAAGGCGAGGTGTGTAATGATCACGGAGATGCAGGTATAATATATACTCTTACAAAATAAGGAGAACCCGAACTTTCAATTTAGATAGAAAGTATAAGCTTTAACAAACTTTTCAAAGACAGCCATTTTATGATCGCCCAAAGATTTCTCTTTATCACGAGGCACCCGTGAAGAGCCACCTCCTCATGGTGGGTGCTGGGTAACGCCGAGCTCTTCGAACCCCCGTTGTGGACCCGGGGGGTATATTTGGTCCACCAACCCGTTTGCCGTGGGTTGCGCCCCTGTGTCGGTGGAGGATGGGAGTCTGGTGGTTGAGGGCACTGGTTCCAGGAACAGCGTTCCTTTGCCCAACACACCACTTCGCCCCTTACTTCACCTAGACGGGTGGTAGAACTGGCCCGGTTCTATCAATCGGCTCGTCACGCCAAGCCCTGTGTATGGACTATATATATCTATATGTCATTGCACAAATCTGATTTGGAATTATTTTAATTTCGGACTTAAATGTTCACCTAAATGTTCATCTAAAACTTTTGTGATTTTGAACTAAACTGACGAGCAAAAGAAAGTACACAGGTGTAATTGTTGTTGCAATCCCAAATATGCGTTCTAACTTATAAAATTATCAAAAAACATTGATTGTATAGAACGCAACCATCATGTTTCATTTGCCAAAATGCAACCAAAAACATTTGTACGTGTTTTGCACGAATTTTTGCAAAATTGTGCTTATTGTCCCATCCACCAGCACTTTTCTCACAGAGAGTATAAAACCTGTTTGTCGTGAAGACTGAACAATCACTTCACAGAAATCTCACGAGGAAATGCCAAGATTGACGTCGGCGCAACGAGAACGGGCAAAAGGAATGACACAAATGGGTGCTTTCAACAGCGATATTGCAGGACATTGGGTTGCACAAGACAAACCATAATCGGCTGTTTAACCGTTTCAGTACGACAGGCCCGACATGTGATCAACCCAGAAGTGGACGTTCCAGAGTCACAACACCCCAAGAGGATCGCTATCTGCTGGTTATTCACCTACGCAACAGTATGTTGACGGTGACGTCATCAGCAGCCACATCCTTGGGTCATCGCGTAAGCCGATTCACAGTGACAAGACGACTTCGTCCTGCTGTCATGTATGGGCCTACCGACCGCTGCGTGGAATGGCCTTGACCTTCCAGCATCGTAGGAACCGTCTGCAGTGGTCATCACTACATCGCTGTTTATTGTTACAACGTCATTTTGCTGATAAAACAGCAGTGTGCTTCAACATACATTTTCCATTTCATCAAAAGGTTTTGTTATTTTTATCTTATTGGAAGAAACACAACCTTTGTACTTTCTTTTGCACATCAGTTTATGATGTTATGAACTTTGCCTAGAGTCTTATGCCCAGAAGGCGGTGACTCATAGGCCAATCTGGTGGATAAGTTATTTACCCTCTTCTGCTGGCGTATATCATCCGAGTATCCTTGGTGCTGCAAGTTGGAGACCCACTTGTATTTAGCATTGTCCTTGTGATACTCCGTGCAGGGTGGGGGCTAGGATGATGAAACTTTTACACTTACTATGAATATTACCTCCTAAAACGTAACAAGCGTCAATTGGACGTTAACTGGCCTTTATATGAATCCTTGTGTGTTGTCAAACTTAAACCTGAACGTTTTATTGATGTTCCTGATGCTATCAAATGTTTTTTCTGATGAACTGAATACCATAGCTGACGAGTGTATTCCAAAGTCCTCCGCAATTCCACACATTCGAAAACCATGGTTTAATAATGAGTGCAAACAAGCTCGGAAGGCACGGAAAACAGCAGAACATTATTTCCGTCGCCACCAAATGGTGCATAATTTAAATAAATTTAAAATTTTAAATGCTAAAGCGCGGCGTACCTTTAAGCAGAATAAACGCCAATCTTGGCAAAATTATGTATCAAAAATAAATTTTCGAACTCCCATGTCCAAAGTATGGAACATGGTACAGAAAATTAAAGGTAAAGGTACTAAATCTAGCGTCCATCATCTCAAACATGGAGATCAGTTACTTATCAATAAATCAGATATTGCAAATAAACTGGGTGAAACTCTCGCTAAACACTCTTCCTCTTCTAATTATGTGCCTAAATTCCAACAATATCAAAAACAACAAGAAAAGAAAACTATTAATTTCAATTCGGATAATGGGAAAGATTATATTAAACTATTTTCTATTCATTAGCTCCATACTGCCCTTGATCAAGCTCACGATACTGCTACAGGAGCTGATAACATCCATTATCAACCCCTGAAACACTTACCAGAATCCTGTCTAGAAACTCTTTTAAATATTTTTGATGATATTTGGGCATCAGGTAACTTTAATTCCTCATGGCGTGACGCCATAGTAGTACCAATACAAAGCCTGGACGTGATCATACAGATCCGTCAAATTATAGACCTTTTTCACTAACTAGCTGTGTTTGCAAAACCATGGAATAAATAAATAATCGACTTGTTTGGTACTTGGAAACAAGTAATCGGTAGGTAGGTACGTGGGTAGGTAGGTTGGGATGTAGGCGGGTGGGTTGGTTGGTAGGTAGGTGGTTTTATGGATAGGTAAGTAGGAAGGTAGGTTGTTAGTTAGGTAGGTAGGTGGGTAGGTGAGTAGGTGGGTAGGTAGGTAGGTAGGTTGGTGGTTAGTTGGGATGGAAAATTGGTAGATAGATAGGAAGGTGGTTAGGTAGGTAGGTAGGTAGGTGGGTGGGTAGGTAGGTGGGTGGTGGGTAGGTATGTTGGTAGGTGGGTGGGTAGGCGGGTGGTAGGTAGGTATGATGGTAGGTGGGTAGGTAGGTAGGTAGGTAGGTGGGTAAGTAGGTGGGTAGGTAAGCGGGTAGGTGGGTAAGTGGGTAGGTATGTGGGCGGTTGGGTGGGTGGGTAGGTTGGTTGGTTGGGTTGATGGGTAGGTAGATAGATAGAAAGGGGGGTTATCTGGGTAGGTAGGTGAGTAGGTAAGTGGGTAGGTAGGTTTGGAAGAAGATTTGTAGGTAAGTAGGTAGGTAGGGAGGTAGTTGGTGGGTGGGTGGCTAGGAGTGTAGTTGGGCGAGTAGGTGGGTAGGTGGCCGGGTAGGTAGGTAGATTGGTAGGTAGGCGGGTGGGTTGGTAGGTAGGTAGGATGGTAGGTAGGTGGTTTTATGGGTGGGTAGGTATGTACGTAGATGGGTTGGGTGGGTAGTTTGGTTGGTAGTTAGGTAGATAGATAGAAGGGTTGTTGTGGGTGTAGGTAGGGAGGTTGATAGGTTGTTAGGTAGGTAGGTAGGTGGGTAGGTAGGTAGATACGTGGGTAGGTAGGTGGGTGGGTTGGTGGTCAGGACTTACAGGTGACTCACAGGTAGGACGAGCTGAGCAGCCGATGACCCTACTTAATAATCACTGTCATGTCAAATAAATTATGTGTGAGTAATTAAAATCCAAGTTGGCGACGCATTGTTTTCAGGAAATGTTCATTAAATGAATACATACTAACATTATCATTATCTTTGACTGCTTCATTGTTCTGCGACCCATTTTAGGAGAAATATCGTTTCCCGAGGATTGCTGGGTAAGCCCAGATGTCTAAAATTAGCAACTTTCAAGTGGCGTGTGATCGACCCAGCTCCATAGCATGTATGGTACTATGACTCAACAATCAATGTTTCTTTGTATACCTTTCAAAGTCTCATTATCATTATGCTCTTGATTCAACCGTCGGGCTATTTAGGACACACTTGCATTATAACGAATAATACTGCCAACCGTGCTGTACTGTGAGAAATATCGATTCCCGAGGATTGTCAGGTAGGCCCAGTTGGAGCGCCATAGAACTGAGCACCACAACTGACAGTGGGTCACGTGTCACTGAAACACGTGAGATCATCAGAATAAATCTGTAATTCGATGTGGAGACAGATGTACATATGTATTTTTGTGAACATGTAGCGAATTCAGATTACTTTTTTCTGTATTTTGTGACATTAGTAAATTGTTCATCGATCACATTCATATGTTTCTTTTGTAATGTTTGTCTAAGATATTATTCACAGAGTCAGCAATGAGTGCCGTTCAACATTATTCTGGAAGTTTCTGATAGTTCCAAGCATTAGTCTCTTGTTCTATGCCACAAGGGGGCGGTAGGGTAGCCTAGTGGTTAAAGCGTCCGCTCGTCACACCGAAGACCCGGGTTCGATTCTCCACATGGGTAATATGTTGAAAGCCCGTTTCTGGTGTCCCCTGTCGTGATATTGCTGGAATAATGTTAGAAGCGGCGTAAAACCCAACTCACTCTCACCCTACACTGTAGCTACAAACCTGCATGACGACTGACTGTAAATGGTCGCGTCTGGACCGGATAAACCAGTGACTGATATCATGAGCAACATTCCACGCCGTTAGGGGACGATGGCACATGATTAATTAATCTCCAAGCCGAAATTATGGTTAGATTGGAGCAGACCAATGTCCATCCATTCAAGTCAGTGTATACACAGGGAACAGCTTCTAATTACTCGGTGGAGTAGCCTAGTGGTTAAAGCGTTCGCTCCTCACGCCGAAGACATGGGTTTGATTCCCCACATGGGTACAATGTGTGAAGCTGTTGTCCCCCGCCGTGATATTGCTGGAATATTGCTAAAGGCGGTAAAACTAAACTCACTCACTTTAGTTACTCGGTTAGGTCACTTCACATCATGAATCTTAACCACCTGTATCTCCCATCCAGGAAAACGCCTTGAAGATCCGGCTTAGAATCGGTCCAAGGATCGGGTGGTCAGGCTCGCTGACTTTGTTGACACATGTCATCGGTTCCCAATTGCGTGGATCGATGCTCATGATGTTGAACACTGGATTGCCTGGTCCAGACTCGATTATTTACAGGCCGCCGCCATATAGCTGGAATATTGCTGAGTGCGGCGTTAAACAACAAACAAACAAATAACATGAAGACATACTCAAACTGATAAGCTGTGTTATATCTGAAATACTCATCAACGGCGTGTGCCTCAATTACTCTGCGAAAGTGTATTCATCGTTGTGAAAAGTGAACTATCAAAGGCACAGATGATTTAGTTGTCTCAGAGTTGCGTCCCCTTAAATGTTACAGGAATGGACATTCGTCACCACTCGCCCCTTTCCGTAAGTGAGATATTCAAGTACACGGACGTGCGTTTGTTTACATACCGGCTCTCCTATTTCCGGTTAAGTGTCTTCTTGGGCGATTTGCGGGCATGTGTTGGAGATTCTACGAGCGCTTCCTACATTTTTAGTTAATGTAATTATGTATATATAAATTGCAATGAGTTGCAAAACAATATATAGCTAATCAACTTTAAACTTGATCACTGTGCTTACATTTCACTTCACTGGGCATATTTTAGTCTGATGTTTCTTGGGTCCTATATATTTTGTCAGCTTATTCCATCTGGGGTATTTCAGCAAGGTTACATGCAAGTTCAGACAACTGGTAGACACCGTGTACACTTATTCATGCTATAACTCAAATCATTGATCATCATTATTATTATTTATTTATTTAACAGATTATAATCTTTTAATCTTCTTAAAGCAGCATTTTTCGTGTGCTTCTGTAATGTTTATTACTGTTGGAACTGAGTTGTCTTTCTTGTTTGAAGTGGTTCTGATGTTCCCACGCCAATATGAAATCCTTCCAGAGGAGCATTCGGCTTGTCCCGGACTAACACGAGTTGGTCACGAATGCGGAATGGAATCACTGATTAGCTTTTCCGATGAACGCCTTTAAATGCAACCTGCTGCACGTTGTCAACCAGTGTTCAGGGGTACATGGACCGATGTACACTGTTTGTGTCTCTCTCTACCCTGCGTGTGACCTTATTTACCCTTGTGTATCTTCATCTACCCTGTGTGTGCCCCTATGTACCTTTATGAACACTGTGTGAACCTCTATGTACCCTGTGTGTATCTTCATCTACCCTGTGTGTGACTCTATGTACCTCTATGAACCCTGTGTGAACCTCTATGTACCCTTTGTGTGCTTCTATGCATCATATGTGTGTGCCTCTATGTACCCAGTGTGTGCCTCTATGCACCCGATGTGTGCCTCTATGTACACTGTGTGTGCCTCTATGTACATTGCGTGTGCCTCTATGCATCATATGTGTGTGCCTCTATGTACCCTATATGTGCCTCTATGTACCCTATATGTCTCTCTATGTACCCTGTGTGTGCCTATACTCAAGGTACATAGAGTAGCCTACAGGGTACATGTGTGTGGCGCTATACACCCTGTGTGTGGCTCTATGTACCCTCTGTGTGCCTCTTTGTACCCTGTGTGTGACTTTATGTACCCTGTGTGTGCCCTTATTTACCTGTGTGTGCCTGTATGTATCCTGTGTGTGGCTCTGTACAATGTGTGTGCTTCTATGTACCCCGCATGTGACTCTATGTGCCCTGTGTGGGACTATGCACCATGTAGATTACGCTATGGACCCTGTGTGTGTCTCTATGTACCCTGTGTATGCCTCCATGTACAATGTGTGTGCTTTTATGTACCCCGTGTGTCACTATGTATCCTGTGTTTTCCTCTATGGATCCTTTGTGTGAATATGTACCCTGTGTGAGACTCTATGCACCCTGTAAGGCACTCAATGTACCTTTTGTGTGCCTCTACGCATCTTATGTGTGTGTCTCTATGTACCCTGTATGTGCCTCTATATACCCTGTGTGTGCCTTTATGTACCCTGTGTGTGCCTCTATGTACCCTGCATGTGCCTCCATGTACCCTGTGTGTGCCAATATGTACCCTTTATGTGCCTCTATGTACCCTGCGTGTGCCTCGGTGTACCATGTGTGTGAATCTATGCACGCTGTACGGTACTCAATGTAGCTTTTGTGTGCCTCTACGTAACCCGTGTGTGCCTATATGTATTCTGTGTGTGCCTCTATGTACCCTGTGTGTGACTGAATGTACTCTGTGTGTACCTCTATGTACCTTGGGTTTGCCTTGATGTACCCTGCGCGTGTCTCTATGTATCCTGTGTGTGCATCCATGTACCCTGCGTGTGACTCTATGTATCCTGTGTGTGCATCCATGTACCCTCCGTGTGACTGTATGAACCATGTGATACTCTATGTACCCAGTGTGTGACTGAATGCACCTTGTGTGTGCCTCAATGTACCCTGTGTTTGACTGAATGTACCCTGTGGGTGCCTCTATGTATACTGTGTTTGCCTCTATGTACCCTGTGTGAGACTGAATATAAACTGTGTGATTCTGTGTACCCTGTGTGTGCCTGTATGTACCCTGTTTGTGCTGAATGTACCCTGTGTGTCTTTATGTTCCCTGTGCGTTCTTCTATGTACCCTGCGTGTGTCTTTATGTACCCTGTGTGTGCCTCTATGTACCATGTCTGTGCCTCTATGTACCCTGTGTGTGCCTCTGTGTACCCTGTGTGTGACTGAATGTACCCTGTGTGTGCGTCTATGTACCATGTGTGTGCCTCTATGTACCCTGTGTGTGCCTCTATGTACCCTGTGCTTGACTGAAAGTACCCTGTGTGTGACTCCATGTACCCTGTGAGTGCCTCTATGTACCCTGTGTGTACCTCTATGTACCCTGTGTGTCTGTGTGTACCCTGTATGTCTGTGTGTACCCTGGGTGTGTCTGTGTACCCTGCATGTGATTTTATTTACCCTGTCTGTGCCTCTATGTACCAGGTGTGTGCCTCTATGTACCAGGTGTGTGACTTTATGTACCCTGCGTCTGACTTTATGTACCTTGCGTGTGACTCTGTGTACCCTTTGTGTACCTCTATTTACCCTGTGTTTGCCTCTATGTACCCTGCCTGTGACTATGTTTACTGTGTGTGCCTCTATGTATCCTTTGTTTGCCTCGATGTACCCTGAGTGTGTCTCTATGTACCCTGCGTGTGCTTGTATATACCCTGTGAGTGCCTCTATGTACCCTGTGTGTGTCTCTATGTACCCTGCGTGTGACTCTATGTACCCTGTGTATGCCCTCTATGTACCCTGTGTGTGCTACTATGTACCCTGAGCCGCCAGTCTTTACAGCAGACCATCCCGCGGGATTTTGTTGACAGCGCATTCATTGTTTCGACTTTGATGCAGTCCGAAATCCAGGTGAAGGTCCGCTTTTCCCACAGTAAGCAGCGACGCAAAAGAACCGAGTTTCCTACCTTTGTATAAATGCATTGGGTCATACGTCGGTTCATTTCAGACATGCAAGGATAAGTATTTGTTCTGATTGACTTCTCATTCGGCAACAAGAAATTGAAACCCCGCCTTTGAGGAAGCGACATGGAAAATATTTTCCCTCTCGCAAACCGATCAGATGCTAGTATTTTATTGCTAAATTGAACCTTTTCTAGACATATCCGAACTACCATTACAAATGAAAAAAATATGAAAATCAATCCAGTTGATGGTTGCAAATAGACATATTTATTTACACATCAAATCAATTCCAAGCAAAACATTGCCACGGCTGTTGCTATGAACAACAAAACATCCCCACAACCACACCCCCACCCCCAACCCCCAACCCCGCTCCAGCCCCTCCCCTACTTTTACCCAGTGGTCTGTGCCCAATTGTTCGCAGGAAATAAGTGGGATGGCAGAGGCCAATCGTACTGTGGTATAAACTATGCACATATTTTCGGTTACTTTTATGCTTCAGTCTGGGAAAGAGTCGTTAAGTGCCCATAGCTGCATTGGGCACACTTAAATCTGGGGCAGGAACCATTTCAGATCATTTCAGAAGATGTGTAAGATTTCTATGCAAAACCCCTAGTCGGTAGAATGAAGACAGTGGTAGAAGGTGTAGTGGTTGTGGTTGGAGCCGTAGTTCGCTTTGTGGTTGTCGTTGTTTGAATCGCGCTGGTAGATGTAATATGTGCCTTAGTTGGAGGCATTGTGGTAGGCCTGGTCGTTGTAGCTGCTGTCGTAGGTGCAGGTGTAGTCGGTGTGGTGGTTGGAGGCATTGTGGTAGGTCTGGTCGTTGTAGCTGCTGTCGTAGGTGCAGGTGTAGTCGGTGTGGTGGTTGGAGGCATTGTGGTAGGTAGGGTCGTTGTAGCTGCTGTCGTAGGTGCAGGTGTAGTTGGTGTGGTGGTTGGAGGCATTGTGGTAGGTCTGGTCGTTGTAGCTGCAGTCGTGGGTACAGGTGTAGTCGGTGTGGTGGTTGGAGGCATTGTGGTAGATCTGGTCGTTGTAGCAGAAGTCGCGCGTGTAGATGAGGCAGTGTGTGTTGCCGAGCATCCTGGTAGTCGAGAACAAAGCCGGCAACAAATCTTCCGTTGTTGCGCTATGTAGATGGCACGGGCACGGGCGCGTGACCACCCCCAACGTCCTGAAGTTCCTGTATGGAATCTGTAGTAAACACCCCGTATCTGTAATCCCTGTCGTAGGTTGAGTAAGTATCGGTACATCTGATGACCATAGCCGGACATACCATGACTATAAAGTGCAGGTGTCTGGTAGAACAGTTTAAAACATCGCCGTTGCTGTTGTGCTCTCCTCCCTGCAGAGAAATAATGACAACTTGCCGATCGAGAAAGAAGGTCACAAGTGCCTTTTAGATAAGAGTTTTCAGCATTGTCGCAATAATCTGGAGCTCAGATGATAACTGGACTGGACAGTCAGCAGTCAATGCAAGTCAGATTCATGTCTCATGACTCAATGTTCAGCTCTGGCTCTAAATGTATGATTTAGATAGATTCGGTATTTAACATCATTGTATGATTTAGATAGATCTGGTATTTAACTTCTATGTGTGATTTAGATAGATCTGGTATTTAACATCATTGTATGATTTAGATAGATCTGGTATTTAACTTCTTTGTGTGATTTAGATAGATCTGGTATTTAACATCATTGTGTGTTTTAGATAGATCTGGTATTTAACATCATTGTATGATTTAGATAGATCTGGTATTTAACATCATTGTATGATTTAGATAGATCTGGTATTTAACATCACTGTATGATTTAGATAGATCTGGTATTTAACGTCTTTGTGTGATTTAGATAGATCTGGTATTTAACATCATTTTATGATTTAGATAGATCTGGTATTTAACATCATTGTATGATTTAGATACATCTGGTATTTAACATCATTGTATGTTTTAGATAGATCTGGTATTTAACATCATTGTATGATTTAGATAGATCTGGCATTTAACATCAATGTGTGATTTAGATAGATCTGTATTTAACATCAATGTGTGATTTAGATAGATCTGGTATTTAACATCATTGTATGATTTAGATAGATCTGGTATTAACATCATTGTATGATTTAGATGGATCCGGTATTTAACTTCTTTGTGTGATTTAGATAGATCTGTATTTAACATCAATGTGTGATTTAGATAGATCTGTTTTTAAAAAACATTGTGTGATTTAGATAGATCTGGTATTTAACATCATTTTATGATTTAGATAGATCTGGTATTTAACATCATTGTATGATTTAGATAGATCTGGTATTTAACATCATTGTATGATTTAGATACATCTGGTATTTAACATCATTGTATGTTTTAGATAGATCTGGTATTTAACATCATTGTATGATTTAGATAGATCTGGCATTTAACATCAATGTGTGATTTAGATAGATCTGTATTTAACATCATTGTGTGATTTAGATAGATCTGGTATTTAACATCATTGTATGATTTAGATACATCTGGTACTAACATCATTGTATGATTTAGATAGATCCGGATTTAACTTCTTTGTGTGATTTAGATAGATCTGTATTTAACATCAATGTGTGATTTAGATAGATCTGTTTTTAAAAAACATTGTGTGATTTAGATAGATCTGGTATTTAACATCATTGTGTCTTTTAGATAGATCTGTATTTAACATCAATGTGTGATTTAGATAGATCTGTTTTTAAAAAACATTGTGTGATTTAGATAGATCTGGTATTTAACATCATTGTGTGTTTTAGATAGATCTGTATTTAACATCAATGTGTGATTTAGATAGATCTGTATTTAACGTCATTGTGTGATTTAGACATATCTGGTATTTAAGATCATTATATGATTTAGATAAATCTTTATTTAAGATCATTGTGTGATTTAGATAGATCTGTATTTAACATCATTGCATGATTTAGATAGATCTGGTATTTAACATCATTGTGTGATTTAGATAGATCTGGTATTTAACTTCATTGTATGATTTAGATATATTTGGTATTTAACTTCATTGTATGATTTAGATAGATCTGGTATTTAAAATCATTGTAAAATTTAGATAGATCTGGTATTTCACATGATTGCATGATTTAATGAAATCTGGTATTTAACATCATTGTGTGTTTTAGATAGATCTGGTATTTAACATCATTGTATGATTTAGATACGTCTGGTATTTAACATCATTGTATGTTTTAGATAGATCTGTATTTAACATCATTGTATGATTTAGATAGATCTGGCATTTAACATCAATGTGTGATTTAGATAGATCTGTATTTAACATCAATGTGTGATTTAGATAGATCTGGTATTTAACATCATTGTATGATTTAGATACATCTGGTACTAACATCATTGTATGATTTAGATAGATCCGGTATTTAACTTCTTTGTGTGATTTAGATAGATCTGTATTTAACATCAATGTGTGATTTAGATAGATCTGTTTTTGAAAAACATTGTGTGATTTAGATAGATCTGGTATTTAACATTATTGTATGATTTAGATAGATCTGTATTTAACATCAATGTGTGATTTAGATAGATCTGTTTTTAAAAAACATTGTGTGATTTAGATAGATCTGGTATTTAACATCATTTTATGATTTAGATAGATCTGGTATTTAACATCATTGTATGATTTAGATAGATCTGGTATTTAACATCATTGTATGTTTTAGATAGATCTGGTATTTAACATCATTGTATGATTTAGATAGATCTGGCATTTAACATCAATGTGTGATTTAGATAGATCTGTATTTAACATCAATGTGTGATTTAGATAGATCTGGTATTTAACATCATTGTATGATTTAGATACATCTGGTACTAACATCATTGTATGATTTAGATAGATCCGGTATTTAACTTCTTTGTGTGATTTAGATAGATCTGTATTTAACATCAATGTGTGATTTAGATAGATCTGTTTTTAAAAAACATTGTGTGATTTAGATAGATCTGGTATTTAACATCATTGTGTGTTTTAGATAGATCTGTATTTAACATCAATGTGTGATTTAGATAGATCTGTTTTTAAAAAACATTGTGTGATTTAGATAGATCTGGTATTTAACATCATTGTGTGTTTTAGATAGATCTGTATTTAACATCAATGTGTGATTTAGATAGATCTGTATTTAACGTCATTGTGTGATTTAGACAGATCTGGTATTTAACATCATTATATGATTTAGATAAATCTTTATTTAAGATCATTGTGTGATTTAGATAGATCTGTATTTAACATCATTGCATGATTTAGATAGATCTGGTATTTAACATCATTGTGTGATTTAGATAGATCTGGTATTTAACTTTATTGTATGATTTAGATATATTTGGTATTTAACTTCATTGTATGATTTAGATAGATCTGGTATTTAACATCACTGTATGATTTAGATAGATCTGGTATTTAACGTCTTTGTGTGATTTAGATAGATCTGGTATTTAACATCATTGTATGATTTAGATAGATCTGGTATTTAACATCATTGTATGATTTAGATAGATCTGGTATTTAACATCACTGTATGATTTAGATAGATCTGGTATTTAACGTCTTTGTGTGATTTAGATAGATCTGGTATTTAACATCATTGTATGATTTAGATAGATCTGGTATTTAACATCATTGTATGATTTCGATACATCTGGTATTTAACATCATTGTATGTTTTAGATAGATCTGGTATTTAACATCATTGTGTGTTTTAGATAGATCTGTATTTAACATCAATGTGTGATTTAGATAGATCTGTTTTTAAAAAACATTGTGTGATTTAGATAGATCTGGTATTTAACATCATTGTGTGTTTTAGATAGATCTGTATTTAACATCAATGTGTGATTTAGATAGATCTGGTATTTAACGTCATTGTGTGATTTAGACAGATCTGGTATTTAAGATCATTATATGATTTAGATAAATCTTTATTTAAGATCATTGTGTGATTTAGATAGATCTGTATTTAACATCATTGCATGATTTAGATAGATCTGGTATTTAACATCATTGTGTGATTTAGATAGATCTGGTATTTAACTTTATTGTATGATTTAGATATATTTGGTATTCAACTTCATTGTATGATTTAGATAGATCTGGTATTTAACATCACTGTATGATTTAGATAGATCTGGTATTTAACGTCTTTGTGTGATTTAGATAGATCTGGTATTTAACATCATTGTATGATTTAGATAGATCTGGTATTTAACATCATTGTATGATTTAGATAGATCTGGTATTTAACATCATTGTGTGATTTAGATAGATCTGGTATTTAACTTTATTGTATGATTTAGATATATTTGGTATTTAACATCATTGTAAAATTTAGATAGATCTGGTATTTCACATGATTGCATGATTTAATGAGATCTGGTATTTAACATCATTGTGTGTTTTAGATAGATCTGGTATTTAACATCATTGTATGATTTAGATAGATCTGGTATTTAACATCATTGTATGATTTAGATAGATCTGGTATTTAACATCACTGTATGATTTAGATAGATCTGGTATTTAACATCAATGTGTGATTTAGATAGATCTGGTATTTAACATCATTGTATGATTTAGATAGATCTGGTATTTAACATCATTGTATGATTTCGATACATCTGGTATTTAACATCATTGTATGTTTTAGATAGATCTGGTATTTAACATCATTGTATGATTTAGATAGATCTGGCATTTAACATCAATGTGATTTAGATAGATCTGTATTTAACATCAATGTGATTTAGATAGATCTGTTTTTAAAAAACATTGTGTGATTTAGATAGATCTGGTATTTAACATCATTTTATGATTTAGATAGATCTGGTATTTAACATCATTTTATGATTTAGATAGATCTGGTATTTAACATCATTGTATGATTTACATACATCTGGTATTTAACATCATTGTATGTTTTAGATAGATCTGGTATTTAACATCATTGTATGATTTAGATAGATCTGGCATTTAACATCAATGTGTGATTTAGATAGATCTGTATTTAACATCAATGTGTGATT